TTCACTCTGAGAACAAGGTTCCTCACACTGAGCACAAGGTTCTTCAATCTGACGTCAAGGTTCTTCACTATGAGGACAAGGTTGTTCACTCTGAGGGCAAGGATCTTCACGCTGAGGACAAGGTTTTTCACCTTGAGGACAAGGTTCTTAACACTGGGGACAAGGTTCTTCACTCCGAGGACAAGGTTCTTCACTCCGAGGACAAGGTTCTTCACTCTGAGAACAAGGTTCCTCACACTGAGCACAAGGTTCTTCAATCTGACGTCAAGGTTCTTCACTATGAGGACAAGGTTGTTCACTCTGAGGGCAAGGTTCTTAACGCTGAGGACAAGGTTCTTCACCCTGAGGACAACGTTCTTAACACTGAGGACAAGGTTATTCACTCTGAGGACAAGGTTGTTCACTCCGAGGACAAAGTTCTTCATTCTGAGGACAAGGTTCCTCACACTGAGGACAAGGTTCTTAAATCTGAGGACAAGGTTCCTCACACTGTGGACAAGGTTCCTCACTTTGAGGACAAGGTTCTTCACTCTGAGGACAAGGTTCTTCACTCTGAGGACAAGGTTCTTCACTATGAGGGCAAGGTTCTTCACTATGAGGGCAAGGTTCTTCACTCTGAGTACAAGGTTCTTCACTATGAGGACAAGGTTCTTCACTCTGAGGACAAGGTTCTTCACTCTGAGGACAAGGTTCTTTAATCTGAGGACAAGGTTCTTCACCCTGAGGACAAGGTTCTTAACACTGAGGACAAGGTTATTCACACTGAGGACGAGGTTCTTCACTCCGAGGACAAGGTTCTTCTCCCTGAGGACAAGTTTCCTCAGAATGTGGACAAGGTCCTCACTTTGAGGACAAGGTTATTTAAACTCTCAGGACAGGATCCTTCACTCTGGGGAGAAGGATCTTCACTCTGAGGACAAGGTTCTTCAGGCTGAGGACAAGGTTCCTCACACTGTGGGCAAGGTTCCTCACTTTGAGGACAAGGTTCTTTTCTCTGAGGACAAGGTTCTTCACTCTGAAAAAAAAGGTTCTTCACTCTGAGGACAAGGTTCTTCACTCTGAGGACAAGGTTCTTCACTCTGCTGACAAGGTTCTTCACTCTGAGGGCAAGGTTCTTCACGCTGCGGACAAGGTTTTTCACCTTGAGGACAAGGTTCTTAACACTGGGGACAAGGTTCTTCACTCCGAGGACAAGGTTCTTCACTCCGAGGACAAGGCTCTTCACTCTGAGAACAAGGTTCCTCACACTGAGCACAAGGTTCTTCAATCTGACGACAAGGTTCTTCACTATGAGGACAAGGTTGTTCACTCTGAGGGCAAGGTTCTTCACGCTGAGGACAAGGTTCTTCACTCTGAGGACAAGGTTCTTCACTATGAGGACAAGGTTCTTCACTCTGAGGGCAAGGTTCTACACGCTGAGGACGAGGTTCTTCTCTCTGAGAACAAAGGTTGCTCACTCTGAGGACAAGGTTCCTCACTCTGAGGACAAGGTTCTTCAATCTGAGGACAAGGCTCCTCACACTGTGGGCAAGGTTCCTCACTTTGAGGACAAGGTTCTTTTCTCTGAGGACAAGGTTCTTCACTCTGAAAAAAAAGGTTCTTCACTCTGAGGACAAGGTTCTTCACTCTGAGGACAAGGTTCTTCACTCTGCTGACAAGGTTCTTCACTCTGAGGGCAAGGTTCTTCACGCTGCGGACAAGGTTTTTCACTTTGAGGACAAGGTTCTTAACACTGGGGACAAGGTTCTTCACTCCGAGGACAAGGTTCTTCACTCCGAGGACAAGGTTCTTCACTCTGAGAACAAGGTTCCTCACACTGAGCACAAGGTTCTTCAATCTGACGACAAGGTTCTTCACTATGAGGACAAAGTTGTTCACTCTGAGGGCAAGGTTCTTCACGCTGAGGACAAGGTTCTTCACTCTGAGGACAAGGTTCTTCACTATGAGGACAAGGTTCTTCACTCTGAGGGCAAGGTTCTACACGCTGAGGACGAGGTTCTTCTCTCTGAGAACAAAGGTTGCTCACTCTGAGGACAAGGTTCCTCACTCTGAGGACAAGGTTCTTCAATCTGAGGACAAGGCTCCTCACACTGTGGACAAGGTTCCTCACTTTGAGGTCAAGGTTCTTCACTGACGACAAGTTTGTTCTCGCAGCCAGTAACTTTGTCACCCCCGTTAGAAACCTTGTCCTCACCGCCAGCGACCTTATCCTCACCGCCAGGAACCTTGTCCTTACCGCCAGCAACGTTGTCCTCACCTCCAGGAACCTTGTCCTCGCCGCCAGGAACCTTTTCCTCACCGCCAGGAACCTTGCCCTTACCGCCAGTAACCTTGTCCTCACCGCCAGGAACCTTGTCCTCTCCGCCAGGAACTTTGGCCTCACCGCCAGTAACCATGTCCTCACCGCCAGGAACCTTGTCCTCACCGCCAGGATCCTTGTCCTCACCGCCAGAAATCTTGTCTTCACCGCCAGGAACCTTATCCTCACCGCCATGAACCTTGTCCTCACCGACACTAACCTTGTCCTCACAGGCAGAAACTTTGTCCTCACCGCCAGTAACCTTGTCTTCACCGCCAAGAACATTGTCCTCACCGCCAGTAACCCTGTACTCATCGCCACGAACCTTGTCCTCATCGACAGGAACCTTGTTCTCACCGCCGCCAGGCACCTTGTCCTCACCGCCAGTAACCTTGTCCTCATGGGCAGGAACCTTGTCTTCACCGCCAGTAACCAGTCCTCAAAGCCCGGAACCTTGTCCCCACCGGCAGGAATCTTGTTCTCACTGCCTCCAGGAACCCTGTCCTCGTCGCCAGTAACCTTGTCCTCACAGGCAGGAACCTTGTCCTCACCGCCAGTAACCTTGTCTTCACCTGCAGGAACCTTGTCCTCACCGCCAGTAACCCTGTCCTCATCGCCAGGAACCTTGTCCTCACCGCCAGGAACCTTGTCCTCACAGCCAGCAACCTTGTCCTCACCGCCAGTCACCATGTCCTCAGCGCCAGGAACCTTGTCCTCACCACCAGGAAACTTGTCGTCACCGCCAGGAACCTTGTCCTCACCGCCAGGTAGCTTGTCCTCACCGCCAGGAACCTTGTCCTCACCGCCAGGAACCTTGTCCTCACTGCCAGGGACCTTGTCCTCAGCGCCAGGAACCTTGTCCTCACCGCCAGCAACCTTGTCCTCACCGCCAGTAACCATGTCCTCAACGCCAGTAACCATGTCCTCACCGGCATCAACCTTGTCCTCACCGCCAGGAACGTTGTCCTCACCGTCAGGAACCTTGTCCTCACCGCCAGAAACATTGTCCTCACCGCCAGGAACATTGTCCTCACCGCCAGGAACATTGTCTTCACCGCCCACAACCTTGTCCTCACCGGCAGAAACCTTGTCCTCACCGCTATGAACCTTGTTTCACCGCTATGAACCTTGTCCTCACGACCTGGAACCTTGTGCTCACCGCCAGGAACCTTGTCCTCACCGCCAGAAACATTGTCCTCACCGCCAGGAACATTGTCCTCACCGCCAGGAACATTGTCCTCACCGCGAGGAACCTTGTCCTCACCGCGAGGAACCTTGTCCTCAATGCCAGGAACGTTGTCCTTACCTCCAGTAACCTTGTCCTCACCGCCAGTAACCTTGTCCCCACCTCCGTTAACCTTGTCCTCAAAGCCAGGAACCTTGTCCTCACTGCTATGAACCTTCTCCACACCGCCTGGAACCTTGTCCTTACCGCCAGGTACCTTGTTCTCACTGCCGCCTTCAACCTTGTCCTCACCGCCAGTAACCATGTCCTCACCGCCAGTATCCATGTCCTCACCGGCATCACCCTTTTCCTCACCGCCAGGAACCTAGTCCTCACCGTCAGGAACCTTGTCCTCACCGCCAGAAACATTGTCCTCACCGCCAGGAACATTGTCCTCACCGCCAGGAACATTGTCCTCACCGCCCGTAACCATTTGTCCTCACCGGCAGAAACCTTGTCCTCACGGCCAGTAACCTTGTCCTCACCGCTATGAACCTTGTCCTCACCGCTATGAACCTTGTCCTCACCGCCTGCAACTTGTCCTCACCGCCAGGAACCTTGTCCTCACCGCCAGAAACATTGTCCTCACCGCCAGAAACATTGTCCTCACCGCGAGGAACCTTGTCCTCACCGCGAGGAACCTTGTCCTCATTGCCAGGAACCTTGTTCTTACCTCGAGTGACCTTGTTCTCACCGCCAGTAACCTTGTCCCCACCTCCGGGAACCTTGTCCTCACCGCCAGGAACCTTGTCTTCACCGCTATGATCCTTGTCCTCACCGCCTGGAACCATGTCCTTACCGCCAGGTACCTTGTTCTCACTGCCGCCAGGAACCTAGTCGTCACCGCCAGTAACCTTGTCCCCACCGCCAGGAACCTTGTCCTCACCGCCAGAAACATTGTCCTCACCGCCAGGAACCTTGTCCTCACCGCCAGAAACATTGTCCTTACCGCCGCCAGGCACCTTGTCCTCACCGCCAGTAACCTTGTCCTCACGGGCAGGAACCTTGTCCTCACGGCCAGTAACCAGTCCTCACCGCCAGGAACCTTGTCCCCACCGGCAGGAATCTTGTTCTCACTGCCGCGAAAAACCTTGTCCTCACCGCCAGTAACCTTGTCCTGAGCACCAGGAACCTTGTCCTCACCACCAGGAACCTTGTCGTCACCGCCAGGAACCTTGTCCTCACCGCAATGATCCTTGTCCTCACCGCCTGGAACTTTGTCCTTACCGCCAGGTACCTTGTTCTCACTGTCGCCAGGAACCTTGTCCTCACCGCGAGTAACCTTGTCCCCACCGTCAGGAACCTTGTCCTAACCGCCAGAAACATTGTCCTCACCGCCAGGAACCTTGTCCTCACCGCCAGTAACCTTATCCTCACGGGCAGGAACCTTGTCCTCACGGCCAGTAACCAGTCCTCACCGCCAGGAACCTTGTCCCCACCGGCAGGAATCTTGTTCTCACTGCCGCGAGAAACCTTGTCCTCACCGCCAGTAACCTTGTCCTGAGCGCCAGGAACCTTGTCCTCACCACCAGGAACCTTGTCGTCACCACCAGGAACCTTGTCGTCACCGCCAGGAACCTTGTCCTCACCGCCAGGAACCTTGTCCTCACCGCCAGGAACCTTGTCCTCACCGCCAGGAACCGTCCTCACCGCGAGGAACCTTGTCCTCATTGTCAGGAACGTTGTCCTTACCTCCAGTAACCTTGTCCTCACCGCCAGTAACCTTGTCCCCACCCCCGGGAACCTTGTCCTCACAGCCAGGAACCTTGACCTCATCCCCATGAACCTTGTCCTCACCGCCTGGAACCTTGTCCTTACCGCCAGGTACCTTGTTCTCACTGCCGCCTTCAACATTGTCCTCACCGCCAGTAGCCATGTCCTCACCACCAGTATCCATGTCCTCACCGGCATCAACCTTTTCGTCACCGCCAGGAACCTTGTCCTCACCGTCAGGAACCTTGTCCTCACCGCCAGAAACATTGTCCTCACCGCCAGGAACATTGTCCTCACCGCGAGGAACCTTGTCCTCACCGCGAGGAACCTTGTCCTCATTGCCAGGAACGTTGTCCTTACCTCCAGTAACCTTGTCCTCACCGCCAGTAACCTTGTCCCACCTGCGGGAACCTTGTCCTCACCGCCAGGAACCTTGTCCTCAGCGCCTGGAAGCATGTCCTTACCGCCAGGTACCTTGTTCTCACTGCCGCCAGCAACCTTGTCGTCACCGCCAGTAACCATGTCCTCACCGGCATCAACCTTTTCCTCACCGCCAGGAACCTTGTCCTCACCGTCAGGAACCTTGTCCTCACCGCCAGAATCATTGTCCTCACCGCCAGGAACATTGTCCTCACCGCCAGGAACATTGTCCTCACCGCCAGTAGCCTTGTCCTCACCGCTATGAACCTTGTCCTCACCGCTATGAACCTTGTCCTCACCGCCTGGAACCTTGTCTTCACCGCCAGGAACCTTGTCCTCACCGCCAGAAACATTGTCCTCACCGCCAGAAACATTGTCCTCACCGCCAGGAACATTGTCCTCTCCGCGTGGAACCTTTTCCTCACCGCGAGGAACCTTGTCCTCATTGCCAGGAACCTTGTCCTTACCTCCAGTAACCTTGTCCTCACCGCCAGTAACCTTGTCCCCACCTCCGGGAACCTTGTCCTCACCGCCAGGAGCCTTGTTTTCACCGCTATGAACCTTGTCCTCACCGCCTGGAACCTTGTCCTTACCGCCAGGTACCTTGTTCTCACTGCCGCCAGGAACCTTGTCCTCACCTCCAGAAACCTTGTCCTCACCGCCAGGAACCTTGTCCTCACGGCCAGAAACATTGTCCTCACCGCCAGGAACATTGTCCTCACCGCCAGGAACCTTGTTCTCACCGCCAGGAACCTTGTCCTCACCGCCATGAACATTGTCCTCACCGCCAGGAACATTGTCCTCACCGCCAGGAACCTTGTCCTCACCGCCAGGAACCTTGTCCTCACCGCCAGGAACCTTGTCCTCACCGCCATGATCATTGTCCTCACCGCCAGGAACATTGTCCTCACCGCCAGGAACCTTGTCCTCACCGCCAGCAACCTTGGCCTCACCGCAATGAACCTTGTCCTCAACGCCATTGACCTTGTCCTCACCGCCAGAAACTTTGTCCTCACCGCCATGAAGCTTGTCCTCGCCGCCAGGAACCTTGTCCTCACTGCCAGGAACCTTGTCCTCACCAGCAGCAACCTTGGCCTCACCGCAATGAACCTTGTCCTCACCGCCAGGAACCTTGACCTTACCGCCAGGAACCTTGTTCTCTCTGCCGCCAGGAACCTTGTCGGCACCGCCAGGAACCTTGTCCTCACCGCCAGGAACCTTGTCCTCACCGCCAGGAACCTCGTTCTCACCGGCAGAAATCTTGTTCTCAGCGCCAGGAACCTTGTCCTCAGCGGCAAGAACCTTGTCCTCAGTGCCAGGAACCTTGTCCTCAACGCCAGGAACCTTTTTCTCACTGCCGCGAGGAACCTTGTCCTCACCGCCAGTAACCTTGTCCCGAGCGCCAGGAACCTTGTCCTCACCACCAGGAAACTTGTCGTCACCGCCAGGAACCTTGCCCTCACCGCCAGGAACCTTGTCCTCACCGCCAGGAACCTTGTCCTCACCGCCAGGAACCTTGTCCTCACCGCCAGGAACCTTGTCCTCACCGGCAGGGACCTTGTCCTCAGCGCAAGGAACCTTGTCCTCACCGCCAGGAACCTTGTCCTCAGCGTCAGGAAACTTGTCCTCAGCGTCAGTAACCTTGTTTTCAGCGGCAGGAGCCTTGTTCTCAGCTTCAGGATCCTCGCGAAAGGCCTCCGAAATTTTTACTCTTGTGCAATCGAGTGAGATCATATAAGTTTGATTGTCGCGTATCATGTTTATTGTAATAATCACGATAATAATCAAAGTTCACGAAACAGGCATCCTTAATTCTCATTTCACGGAGCATTTTTATCAACAATCACGCTTCACGGCTGTTGAACAAATCGCATTTCACGACACTAAAATCAAGCATTTCACATTTCACACGAACAAATATTCACCATTCGGGCACGGGTCACGAAAATAACCTTTCCCACCCTCTTTATAATTTGCATATTACAAACACGCAGCGCTTTTATGTAACACGTCGTATATGTCTGGCATGCGGTCGTTTATCCACGAAATTTTTTCCATTTATATTTGTCGTTTATACAGTGTAACTATTTCATTGCGTGTGTATATATTCAAAACATCCCATTTGGCCAAATGATAGTTTCACAACGTCTATTATCACTGTCGCAATGTCGCTTGTGTCTTGTGCTTGTAAAACCCTCCATTATTTGAATTTCCTCCTCGCTTTTATCAGCCATAACTGCCAAGATGTATTTAGAAAATAATCGGAAAATGGGATTGCTAAAGATTGGCAGACGATGTGCCATATCTTTTTAAGAAATTTGATCCAACAGAGTAATCGACACAATAAGCCAAGTAATCGACAATTTTGACAGGCACGCAGCTCGAGGATAGTTTTTCTATCTATACCAATTGTCCTTTGTAGTAATAGTAAAGACTAAAGACAAATTCCATTGGGCAGATTGACAGTGGGTTGCGAGGATAATCTCTCTTATTATATACATGACAAAATTACTGCAATCTGATTGGTTAATTAAGATGAGTGCAATTATTTCATTAATTATTTATCTTCTGTAATCAGTGGCAAATACTGCAATTTCATTGGTTGACAGGAGTGCGATTTGAGCATTAATCGCACCTTTTCTGAGCTGTAATCGCACTCTTGTCTACAGCCAATGAAAATCAGTCTAGTATTTACAACTAGACAATCAGCATTCAGGATACAAACTTTGAATTTTATTTTGTTTATTGCTGTAAAAAATTTCAAAATGGAGGAATTCACAAATTTTAACCTTTTAAGTTTTAAATCAGCCCTCGAAAACCGTCAAAATTGAGGTCGGAAAAAAATGCCGACCTAAACCTGACCTAGCTCGGTACATTTCGGCATTTTTTAAAATCTGTTCCATGTTTTGGAGCACTAGTAGCCTGCACTAGTATTCACGTATTTACGAATCATTGAAAAGTATAAATGTCAGGAAGCCTTTTCTTTTAGAGTTTTACCTAAATTATATCATAAATATACCCGTTAATTCTTAAACCTTACACCAAAGTACATCGAATTCTATAATCGCTGACTTTTTAACAGCTATAAGCACCAAAATAGATTATTACTTTGGCTGAATTAAGGTGGGCAAAACATTGCCGACATGGGAGGTTGATAGGTCGGCATTTACTGTAGGTCGGCATTGCCGAATGCAGATCTCGTTTTCGAGGGTTGTTAAATTATATATTTTCTGACGAAAATAACCTACCTGTTCATCCAGCAGAAGACACCGAACTAAACACAACCAGGAGTTATATTTCCATCCAATTCAGATGATTAATTGAATTAAAGAACTTCACTATTTTGAACACTTTATAAACATACAAACATGGCTTCCCAATTGTGTGTTGAATAATTCAAACAAATGTTGTCATGTGATTATACCGGAAATAATGCCCGGAAGTTAATAATATGTTAATTTGATTATATATGATAAACAATAATTCAAAATTGTACTATTTCACTAAGAATTGTCGTGACAAAAATTTAATAATTATATTGAACTTCAACAAATTGCATTTTTCTGCTTTTCCCCCTTAAACAGTTTGATTACAGAAGATAAATAATTAATAAGTAATAGAACGAATTAAAGTCGTACTATTAATGCCATAATCATACTTGTGATTAACAAATCAACCTCCCGCTACGCGGTCGGTTGATTTTGTAATCACTCGTATGATTATGGCATTAATAGCACTCCTATTCGTTCTATTACCATCATTAATTGCACTCTCCAGGAGTGCAATTAATGATTTTCGTGATGGCTGGGGGGAGCGGAATATCAAAACAACAAAATCCAATATGGCGGCGAAATTTAGATAGGTATTTCTAACCTTAGATATAGGAGATCTAGATTGCTAACGCATACCTAGCGCAGGCGGGGCCAACATGATAATTCCAAGATGGCGGTACAACAGGGCAAAAAGACTATAGATTCTAATACGAAAATCAGGATTTTTGCATTTTTTGCCGTCGTATTGTTTCGAAACTTATTCGGTCAAATTTTATGGTAAAGAGAAACTTACCGCGAAGATTTTGAGCATATATATGATTGAATTGGATGAAAAATCGCAAAATTATCCAGCGATAAAAGTTCGTGTGAAATGGTCAGTTGGTCAGTTGGAGCGTTTTATTGCCAGAAATACTGTGCTATGTTAACATCTAGCCTTGTGAATGGTGTTTTATACTTGCATCTCTCATCATCATCTGCTCTGTCCTCATAATTATGAAAAATGAACTGTTATGTACCCCCCCCCCCTTGCTTGTTAGAGAAGTAAACTGATGAGAGCACTGGATGAGGGTCTATCATCTATGGTTTGTGATAATTTGCTTTTTATGCAAATAGTGAGCAAAAATTAAAGCAAAACTGTACAAGTTACTTATATAGTACTATATTGCGAGTTTTCATCCAAATCAATCATATATATGCTCAAAATCTTCGCGGTAAGTTTCTCTTTACCATAAAATTTGACCGAATAAGTTTCGAAACAATGTGACGGCAAAAAATGCAAAAATCCTAATTTTCGTAATAGAATCTATAGTCTTTTTGCCCTGTTGTACCGCCATCTTGGATTTATCATGTAGGCCCCGCCTGCGTTAGGTATGCGTTAGCAATCTAGATCTCCTATATCTATGTTTCTAACAAATGTGAACGAATTTAACTGAATTTTGGCACAAGAATGAGTTTAGGAAACATTGTATGGCAAAAAGAGCATGTAGAAAATACCTGGAAACAGTCTTAAGTAATAATCTTGGCGCGGTGCAGCGAAACGTGACTATGTAAGTTTGAAATATAAATTATAAAGATTTTCTTAGTCTAAAATATGTTGTTTGAGTTTGAATCTTGTGTTCTAGTTTAAATACTGTGCCTTTATGAGTTTATAATCATTTCCCAAGTTTGTTTATACCAAATTGCTTACAAAAGAATTAAAAACTCTTGACAAAATGCAGTTGAAATATAAAGAAAGCGATTTTGTCATGTATATAATAAATAAATAATCACACGGGCAAGTCGTGCAATTAATGATTAACACTACTCGTGATATTTGAAAAATGTGCCAAATTGCCCTCGCCTCGGCGGCTCGTGCAATTTTGGCACATTTTTCAAATATCACTCCTTCCCGTGTGATTACCTATACAAAATGACTATCTGCATATAGTAATGATTTATTACCTATGATGTATTTCATGACCATGTAAATTACAAAACAAATAACTCAGGACAACATATTTAGCATATACAAGATAGGTACAAATGCAACAGCCAATAGAATCTTACTATTTTGCGTTTAGCCATGTTTTGCATATAGGTCATATAGTGAGAGCCAATAAAAAAACAGTGATTTTGCGTGTCTTTCGTCGTTAATGATATTAATGAGGCTTTACGTCCTTAGATGCAGGTCCGCTATTAAGACAGAAATTTGACAACATTTTGCATTGCAAATAATGAAGTGTATATTTTAAGGTTGGTTTCACTGCAGGGTGTCCCAAAAACCCTAAAACTATTGAAATGACGTATTGTCAGAAGTTGAATGCCTCAGCACCCTGTTGAACCCACAACCTGTGCACAAAAGCTAGCTTGACACAAGAAAATTTTATGCATAACAAACTGTTTAAAAGAATGTAAGAGAGATTTATGTAATGAATCCTAAAGTTATTCTCGTTCAGAATTTAAGAAGCTGCTTTAAATTCCCAAGAGCAGAAAATTGTGCGCCTACAAAGATATTTTAATTTCTTAATAAGTCAATAACGATTTAATATATGCACCCTGTCAATATTTTACGCATCTTTGCGTTCAGCTTAGTGCATGCTATAGGGCATTCAAATTCTAAAAATACGTTATTCAATAGTTTTGGTTATTTTTGGGACACCATGTATGGAATTTTCTTTGATACGCTCATTAAAGTGTACGATATCATAATTTTAATTGCATAGTAGAAGTATTTTAAAAACTACACAATTCGAAAGTGGAGGTTTGATGACCCCATGCGCTGATGCGGTCACAAGAAATATTTTTATAGCAACGGTAACTAAGCAGGTCACAAAAACATTTTTTATAGCACCGGTAACTAAGCACATTATTATATGCTTGTGTGATGTTACTCTGAGTGTGTATCCACACCAGGCAGGCTTGAAAATTATGCCTGATATCCAGGCATATTTTTCAAATATCCCTGGTATCCAGGCATATTTTTCAAGCCTGCCCGGTGTGGATACACACTCAGAGTAACATCACACAAGCATCTTATTCAAATGAGTACATTACACCAACACAGCAAGTATCATGATTATTAGATTACACTGATATCGAAGGAACTAGACTCAGTTCCGAAATATCGCATACTCGAACCGACCTGACCGCGTAGCTCAGTTGGCAGAGCATTGGGCTGGTATTCCAAAGGTCGTAGGTTCGAATCCCACCGTGGCCAGGCATATTTTTCAAGCCTGCCCGGTGTGGATACACACTCAGAGTAACATCACACAAGCATCTTATTCACCTGAGTACATTACACCGAACACAGCAATTATCACATTATTATACTTTTTATAAATGCGGACTCAGTTGAATTAAGCGAAAATAAAACCACTATGCAAGCAATAAAGACAAATAAATCGGTAAGCTACGGTTACAAGTATACTTAAAACACAAATCAAATACAGTATTTTCTTTTGTGAATGCCTTTGGTTTATTCAGTAATATGTATATATTATATTAATTGTTTGGGTTCATGCAGCGGGTTTCCTATATGACGGGTTCATTGGCACCGTACTGCTCCCAGCACAGTTGCAGTTGTAAATCTCAAAACAGTATACAATGGATTCCAGCTATAGACTAAATTTTGATCCAGACAAGAGAGACGAAATCTATGACTATAGCTCAATAGAACATCCTTAAATTAGTAGTATTGCCAAATTTGGTTGCAAAATGTTGTAAAATACGGAGAATATAGCTTTGAGTATTTTACAGTATTACACTCGCTCGGACAAATGATGTACTACTTTTGAGCCGAAAGTCGTGCATTTTCCGCACGTAATACTAAAATACTCAAAATTTGCTAATTTCACAGGGCTATATTTTTCGTTTTTTACGACACAGTCGCAGTGAAACTTTGCAATTTTAATTACTAATTTTAGGATGCTCTTTTGAGCTATAATAATAGATTTGGTCTTTCTTGTCTATATATAAAAAAATAGTCGATAGCTGGAATAATCCATTTAGGAAGTAGGGTTAATCATCACAGATATAACTCCTAAGATTTTCCAATAATGTTATCACATCACTTGTTTTGGTGTAAATAGGTAATGGGGCAAGTACTGGTGTGAGACATTGTGTAACCTAAATAATTATAGGACCAGTATTCAAATTTATTGTTATTTACTTCAACTTCAATAGTAGGCGATGAACTGCATATACTTGATAAATTATTGCAATTATGATTATAGAAACTAAAAGAGGGTTGAATTGGTTAATGGGAAACGATAAGTCAAGAGATAAAGGGGAGAGTTGGAAAGGCAACCCTGTACGCGTTTCGACCTAACAGTCTTCTTCAGCAGGGGTTTTTTAAGAGGGGTGTAGGTAGAATTTGCAGAGGAGAATGAAGAATTCCTCCACGTGACAAATTAAGACCTACTACAGATAACGATTGGACATATAATGTCATTGCATTTATTATCCTTGTTTGGCTTTGTTATATATGTACATATTTAGTTTTTTGGTCAATGTATACTCATAATTTTATAAGATCAAACCCTGCACGATGTAATTATTTATTTTTTTATTATTTCTTACTAATCACCTCTTATTGCTATACCTCCCCATCCCTGTCTAATTAGCTAACTTCACCATATTAGGATGCAATCACCTTCAGACACATGATCACACTATGATATAAATCCTACCCCACCCCTACCATCACATCATTAATACTCACTATACTATTGCGTAAGTTACATTAGAAATGACTATATCATTGCTCTGCTTTATCAAGCTAAGCAAAAAGATGCATATATGAACAGCAAGATGCGTGGTGCTGGAATGCCGCGCAATAACAAAACATTTGGTAGGATAACTTTACTTTTAACATGTAGTAGTTTTTTCATTTCTCACTATCTTTCCACCTTTCATTTTTGTTACCGTGCCATTGGTTATCCGAACTCTTAAATTCTCCTTCATTCTCCTCTGCAAATTCTACCTACACCCCTCTTAAAAAACCCTGCTGAAGAAGACTGTTAGGTCGAAACGCGCACAAGGTTGCCTTGCCTACTCTCTCCTTTATCTCTCGACTTATCGTTTCCCATTAACCAATTCACCCCTCTTTTAGTTTCTATAATCGCAATTGCCATAATTTATCACATATAATTATGCAGTTCATAGCCTACTATTTAAGTTGAAGTAAATAACAATAAATTTGAATACTGGTCCTATAATTATTTAGGTTACACAATGTCTCACACCAGTACTTGTCCCATTACCTATTTACACCAAAACACCTGTCTCAAGCTTGGTGAATTCAGTCTAGCACCTTCTTGATTTGCCATTCTTTCTTATTTCTAACGTGAGTGCATGTGATTTGTCAGAAAAATTTCCAATCGTGAAAAAGAATGAAACAAACAAACGAAATGTCATTCAGGGCTAGCGATCAATTCAAAACATTTACAAGCAGATATTTTATTTAAAGATCAGCCATTCGGCCCGTTCAACTAACTATATATCAGAGATATTCATGTTTGACTGCCACTATACCGCTACCACTACCTCTCATTGGCTTAGTACGCATCCGATTGGTTAATCGTATAACTCAAACACATCTGACTGGTTAATCGTAATAATTAGTGGTCCCTTAATGTTTAGTGGTCCCTTAATGGTAGCGATATAGCGGTGGTGGAAGTCAAATTTGAACTTACCTCGAACTGCACGTAGTGCAGGTTCATCACGCCCCTCCATGTCTAAACACGTATCTGGCATGGTCGAAGTGGAGAAGAGAGGTGGGAAAATATATAATTTTCTAGACGTATTATTTATTTGTATGTTGCCCTCAAATAGAGGCTACTATACAAACTTTCATCTCTCTTTCTCTGCAAATAATATGACAATTCATGTCTAGACAAGGAATTAACAAGGCTCTTCAGCCATTCAATCGGTCAAACTGGAAAAAGTGTCTATATCAACTGGCCATACCCGAGGTTTGAAGAGATTCGCCTTTTTCACGTCGCCATTTTTGGGTGGCTTTTCAGCCGAAGTCTGCGAGATAAATCCACGTAACAGCGACTTTTTAAAATTTTTTTGAAGAATAATGGTAAATTTGCTTTGTAAATGGTTAGTTTATTTTTAATTGTCTTCATTGGTTAACGAGAATTAGATGGCACCCAAAAGTGGCGGATATTCGTCATTGTGAGAAAGGCTAATTGCCGGTTATCTGCACACTATATAAAAATGGCAATTTGAGGTTTCACTATAATGAGACATTAAATGATACAGTGTGCATGCTGCAGCAGATTTAAAACTTATAAAAGCATCCGTGTTCAAACACTTTCAAGTTCCACAAGCGCAGCAGCCGATTATTGAAAAGAAAATCTTCCCAGTCTTGAAGACGTATATTGCCTCCCACGCAAAAAACTCGGTGGTAAAACGACAGAAATGCGCAATATTTCAAAATGCATGCTAAGCTATAAGAGGATAATATAAACATGACATGCCGGTTCTCTACCCCGAAGTCAAAAAATACTTTAGTTCTGTAATGAGCTGCTGTACAAGCAGGGCCGGATTAACGTTCCGCGGGGCCAGTGGCATATTATTGGAGCGAGGCCCCTTGACCCCCACCGCCCAACGGCATTTTAGACCCTGAATTCAGTAAATTTCAAAATATCCTTTTGTATTTCATGCGTTGAAAAGTTTCCTGTGTTTTTACAAAAAAAGAATTATACATCAATAATTTGATCGAACTGAAATTCAACCCAGTTTATTCCATTAACATTATTATTATTTACAGGGGAAAAATAGCTAAACATGATAGCGTCCATATAAACTTCTGCCGTCTTCCACGAATTTAGCGATCTTTTAGTATTTAACAGTTTGCTGCAAATTTTGAAATTTTCTGAACCCTATGATTTTCTGCAGGCCAGCGATCGCTTTTTGGAGCCCCTTGCCCAAAGAAAGAACAAACAATTTTGTGTTTGCGGGCCTGCTTTTGGAGCCTCACCTTTTTAACTTTGGGGCCTCGTGGTTTTTTTCTTTTGGGGTTTCGCTTTTGGGGGCTTTGGACTCTTTAGGGTCCCGCGCTGTTTGGATCCCACGCTAAAACAAGGAACAAAAAATCGTTTCGGGCCCCTCACTTTGGGGCCTCTATTCTTAAATTTTGGGGCCTATAACTTTTTCTGGGGTCCTTGGGCTCTTAATTTGGGCCTCCGCGCTGAAACACTAAAACAGGGAACAAAAAGAAAACGTTTGGGGCCGATTTTTGGGGGCCTCGAGTTTTCTGGAGGACTTGGGCTCTTTGGGGCCCCGCACTGGCGCACTGTTTGGGCCCCGCGTTGAAACAGGGAACAAAAATTTCAGAAAAAAAATAGAAGAGAGAAGCGCGGGGCCCCCAAAAGCGCGGGGCCCGTGGCATATGCCGCTTCTGCCATATGGTTAATCCGGCACTGACTGTGTACGAGGTACGTGTTGGGAAGGGTGAGATTGGATATTCATTCATATTTTGGCGTAATTTGTTGGATATATTTCACCTCATCTTAAATTTCTCATATCCTTCCAAATGAGTATCAGACTGCTAATCACCAATCTGAGAGGAGGAAAAATTATGACAATGAAGATTGAATCCTCAATCAATGTCAACCTTTCAACATGAAGAGTATAAGGATTGCGTTTATATTCATTGATACTTTGTTTATTTACAGAATCCATTATTAACATTTTTTCTACGTTTGTAAAATATCATTAAGGGTTCGACTTTTATAGAATTTCCAGTTGGCTTGATCTACCAAACGCTGTTGTAACGATTCTTGACTTGGGTATGGAGGAATCTAGAAAATTTTGACAAGGAACACAGAAATTTTCAGATTTTAACACAGAAATTTTTAGGGTAATTCAAGAATATTTTGTATTATTTGCCAGGGGTGGGGGGTGGGGGGAGGAATTGCATATAATTTACAGAAAACTCAGCATATAACTATAACGCCTATTTTATATAGCAGAAACCCCATGCATGTGAGAATTAAGTGGGGGAATTTTTCTATTTGCTAGTTTATGATATAAAAAAAGATATAAGGACACTCAGACAATTTTGTTTCTCCTAACATTAGTAACATATTATCAGTTACATTACTTGCAAAGAAAAACGTGCAACTCAACAAACATTATGGATGGCAGGGGAATAAAAACTTTCAAAAATGTTCGAAAGTAGTCGACAATGATAAACAGATTGATTTGCTGTAGTTAAGCCTCGTTCCCAAGCTATTCTCTGCGTCCGTGCGTGGTTGACTGTAGTTTTACTCCACTATTGTTTCGGATTCCGCATAAAAGCGAAGGGTCTCTTCAATCTGCTCTGTCGTCATTTTCTGCCATGCACGTTGTGAACAGATTTTTGAACTTACTGCTGTTTGCCATATCATTTGCTTTACTCCTATCAATTTTCAAGACATTGCGCGTTAAACCAGCCAGCGTCGTCCAATATATATATTATAATTTACTATACTATAGGTCTAGGACGCATCTAGCCTGCAGGTGTTTTAATTGCCTGCCTGCTTAAGATAATATGCCTGTTGTATCCTATAGGGCAACCTGATACTATTCACCTCCTCTACTCCTCCACTCCTCTAAAGGCTGTTTTCCACTAGGCGGAATTTTGCCCGTGAAGCGGAATTTTTCTTTGTCTTGTGATTTCTCGGGTGGAACTGATTAGAAAAGACAAAGAGAAATTCGGCCTCGCGCGCAAAATTCCGCCTAGTGGAAAACGGCCGTAAGGCTCTTTTAAATACGACGTACCTGAGCTCTCATATTTCTCAGCGTTGTCTCACTGGCGTGAGTCAATAACCATTCTTTTGATATGAGGATGCACTCCCCACCATTGCTTACCTTGGATAAATTAAGGCAAAACACAATTATAATGCATAAGTGTATAACTTTTGTCTGTAAATATATACTCTATACAGTCCAATATGTCGAACTCTGATGATGGATAATTAGTCAAAAGCTTGGATTTTATTTATATTTCATGGTTTTATTAAAATTATTTTAAAGAGCGTACGTAGAAGAAACATAAATATACTGATTTAGGGCACACCCACATAACCATGGCACCGTTTTAGATAATTATGTCCACCGTTTTAATCTATAATCTTTCATGAATTATTACACTACTTCCATAGGTGTTTCTATTATATTTGTTGTTGTGAATGCATACATGCATGCAGAGTGGTAAACTTACCAGATGGCATGCAACAGATTTTGAGTCAAACAACAACGAAGATAGACCCTATATGAATGAGAATGTCATGAATTAGAAAAGTTTGTGCGTTTGTCATGGGTATTGAATCATGATACAGTGATTGGTGCATGCATGTTATTTGGAGCAAAAACTGTATACGTAATTATTATTAGGCATTTCAACATTGTAGTGCTGCAGGTTTAATTCTTGCAGAAGAACCCATAGCTGCATTCATTTCTCACAACTGCTCCTGGTGCAAATTAAGGCGCTTACTGCATGTATTTTTAGTGAGTTATTACTTACAAACTGGTCTTTAGGTTTCAGCACTTCAATTTGAACCACAACAAACTTGCCTTTGTTGTTAACCTGGAAATATAATCGCGTTTTCAATGGATGACTAAAAAGCTTATACCAGGGGCTAATGTATGAAGGACGGGTATTCAATTCAAGTTGATTACTGGATACGAGCAAATTAACTCGCTTTAGTTAGTGCAGTAAATAACTAAATGCTGAATGAACCACGCAACTCATATAAGGACTTCATCTTAGCTTTAAGGTCCGCCCGAGGCGAGTGAGCCCAACATGTTGATTCAACATCATTCAACATTATTGAAGGCAACATTGTTGGCCTCGTTTGAACACTATGTAATGTTGACAGCAGTTGGATAGGATTTGACTTTTAAAAATTTTCATCCAACATTGTCCAACATCGTTGTATACCTATTACTGTCTTGAACGGGACTTTAGATAACGGCCATCGTAACGATATAGGGTATATAGTAACGATTAGCGGCCTAGCAAGGTTTTCCGGTAAAATTAGAACAGATTGACCTAGAAGGGGATGGATGATCAGGTTCATAATGTTGTTTTTCACTGAAAGTGATTACAGACCTCTGAGGCATCTATTCACTATATAGCACAGATAATCTGCAAAAAAGGGGCCTGTTATACACTCTATGCTCCCCAAAATTTAACTTGAAATCGCGAGTCTCCAGCGGGTCATTAGCCTGCGTAGCAGGCGTTTAGCTGACGGGCGGGTACAGAGGGAACGCTTGCCCAAATTGGCTATGACAAATTTGTTTTCGCCCATTAAGGATGATTGACGTTTTGTAATTAGCACCTTTACCCATTATCCAATCATAGTCGAGATTTATATTTAGCATCATGCATGCTTTTTGCTCGGCAACTACGGAGATTTGCGGAGATTTTATGCACTATTTAAAACACGAGCAGCAGTGTTTTATCAGATATAAAGATGGTCTGATAATACACGCACTGCGAATGTTTTAAATTGCTTCAAAAACGATCGATCTAGTATATGTTCATTGGCGATGTAGCTTTCAAAAAATTCGGTGTGTATATGTAGAGACAATCATTAAAATTTATGTAAATCAAGGGAAATCTCTATCACATATCAAGGATACGACACGTTTATGATTTTTCTTTGTGTTTTCCTCATGAATTATTAGTGAGTTTTTGAAGCTATTTTAGACAACAGTCAGTCACAACGTGCACAGAGCTTTTATCTTTTAAAAGACTCCTGAACCACGGTTGTTTAACGTATTCTGCCGTATAGCAAATATAACAGTTGAGCATGTTTTGAAATGTTATTCTTAAAATCATCATTCAACCTCATAGCTGCAATGCCAAGTGATATAGCCTCAACTATCTGGTCTTGAATTATACTTTAATATTTTAAGTGAACAAATAACAAGACAACTATATTAAAGAAATATTCAGGATATATTTAGAATGTATAATTGAAAGATCAAACTTTTCCGTATTCCTTAGGAAGAATCGCGAGAACCGGCGTCTTCACCACGTAGCAAATTAATAATATACTTTCTCTGTTCTGGTTCAACTGAATTTCGAAGCCTAAATACTAAGAAACTAAATACGAAAGTATTACTGCGATTTCCAGTTGAGTATGGAATTGCGAAAATTTGTTCGTCAAGTTTTGTCGTTTGAAAACAATGTTTGTGGCATCATTCTATGTTGTTGCTAGACGAGCTGACAATGTTGTCAAGTAAAATACTGCCAAGTTCACGACTATAAATAGAAATTATTTCGTTTTGTAATGATTGACAGTTTTTAACGGTTTTTACTTGACAACATTGTGTGCTCGCCTGGTAACATTATAGAATGACGTCACAAACATTGTTTTCAAACGACAAAAGTTAACGAACAAACTCTACGAACAAACTTTCGTAATTCCATACTCAACTAAAAATCGCAGTAACAGGCGGCATATTTTTGATACGCGACTATAAACGCGATCAAAATTATTGTTGACATTTGAGTTACGTAATTATTTCCGTTAACGAGATTAACCAATAGGAAGCTTTTCCGAAGATTCTTCGGAGAAGAACAAATTAATCATAGGCATTTGGGCAGGCGTTTATTTAACGACGCCCTTTCTTCTCCCGCCCGCACTAAACGCCTGCTACGCAGGCTAGGGGGTCATAATTATTTGCTTTTTACCATTTTATATGTAGTTTTCATTTTATAAATAATCATTTTACATAATAACTACCATACTTAAAAATTACATAATAACTCAAAACACTAAACAGTAAACACAAAGCTATAAGAAATTATTCCTTACTGCACTAATTTTGTCATCAAATTTAGGGGGTTGTTGATTTTGGGACTTTTTAATCCGCGCTTCCACAGTCGACGTTGTTCTCGAAGTAAGAGGTGGTAGTCCTGCTTTTGGTCTTGAGCGGTATTCTGTAACGAGAAAAGAAATCATAGGAAGATACAGAATTATTACTTATTATTATTACATGGAAACAACGACTAAAAGATTGCCGCAGTTCTTGTTATATTAATTTTGGCAACGTGATACTCGAGATTCAACGATATATACGAGTCAAATCAGTTCTGCAAAATTTTAACGGATCGGTGGATTAAGCTGCTCCTTTTATCCCCAATCTCTAGCTGATACGAGGGCATGCACCTTGTTCTCGTTCCAATTTTAATATTAACTTCCACTTTGTCTCTACGCACGTCAGTGATCACGCGGAGCATTACCTCGAATACTCGACACAATACACTGCAGAATGAGTCTTTGACTAAAACATTTGAGTAAAATAATGCACCCACTTTGCTTCACAATATTGAATAAAATTACTCCTATCAAATTTATGAGCAAATTTACTCAACTTTTTGAGTAAAGTTTCAATACTCAACGTTAATTTGATTTACTGTCGTTGCAATGGAAGTCTTGATAAAATATTGCATCAATTCATTACTTAGAACTGATCAATTAATTCGTTGAAAAATTGATCAACTTCCTGTGTGTTTGAATCAACCAATGGCTTTACGTTTCAGTGACTGATTGACCAATTGGAAACAAGCATGCCAGTAAACAGGAAGTTGATCAATTTTCTATCAAATCAATTGATCACTTGAGGAAAGGAATTGGCCCAATATTTTATCAACACTTCTATTGCATCGACAGTAATTAAGATTAATTTACTCAAAAAAGTGAGTTAGCTTGCCCATAAATTTGAGTAATTTTACTAAATATTGTGAGTACTGTTGGTGCATTATCTTGCTCAATGTCTTGAGTCAAAATTGTTTGCCATCCATCCGAAAAATTAGAAACAACAGCAGCTATCTACCACAAGAGTATCTCCACCTTATTAACCAATGATTTCAACCCTCTAATATTGATATTCTGCAACTATTCTCGATGGATTTAATTAAAATACAAAGAGGATTAATTTAAAAGGGAAATACTTTGTCAAAATCATCCAACATTGCAGCGATGATGTAACTTACACATAACGAATCACGCCTGCAGATCACCCCCAATTGTTAAATTAATTATCACCCCTAATAATTAATTTTAAATACAGCGCTTTGTGTATTTAATATAAACATATGCGCTTTCTTTAAATGAATAAATTATTATATTATTATTACGAAGGCACAAGGACCAGAGTATCGCAACGTTTGGTGCTTATATATGCAACGAATTTTCACACCATAGTTTTATGTTTCCATTGTAAAGAAAATACAAAATGACTATATATAGTAATGCCAAACGTACTATTTCAGATTGTTTCTTTCTTGGGATATTTAATAATGTTTCATACGCAAATGATCCTCATTATGACGTCAAGTTGGACAACGTCGTACTGAAAAAAACTTTTATAACTTTTATATAGATAATTGATTCAAATTCGTCGAACTGTGACATATAATTGTAATATGTTGGCAGAACGCATCTGCAGGATTTTATGATTACGACGCACGATATCCCAAAATCTTGATTTACGAGTGACAATATGCAATGTACGTACCAGTAATGGGTAATTTGGATATCAAAAATAATTGTTCAATATCTCAACAAGCTATAAAGAATGGCCAGGTATCTTATTTGGTAATTTTGAATTTGTTTTACATTAGCACTAGTATATATAAAAGACTTATCAGCATGTTATCAAATGCCCTAATTGCAAACAATTCACATTTTTGGATCAAACTCACACAATAAGTTACAACAGACTTTTTTAAAAATGTCTGCATGAAATAGAACAAACAGAGGTTGTCTACCAAGAGACCTGTTGCTGTGAGCGACGCACGCATTTTGGAAGATGTAAGCGAACTTTGTGGCAACGGACGCACCAAATGAATAACCTCATTAACCTTCAGGATGACCAATGTTTATCATACTGCACCTCTACTGATGGTTCTCATTCGTTCCGCTTCATTCATTGAAATAAGTGGAAAATCTGTTGTTAAAGACCAAGGTATGTGATTGTTCGGTTGCCGTATTTCCAGTTTTCGTTTTAATATCTTTGTCAATACTCTAAATGATCCCTAATAAACACAAGGTAATGTTATAAATATTTCATTATTTTCTGTATTATTGGCAGACACTTCGCCTTATATAGTCGTTTGCGAATTTAGCATGCTCACATATCGTCATGGCAAGAAATGAAACCCTCAAAAGGTCTATCCCCTGCATGCTTCCCCTCCTATGGCGCTCATTGGACTAAATAGAACATATATCTAGTTGAATGGCCATCGTAAAACTGAGTAGCTAATTAATTTTGTCAATTCTGATGACCAGCATCAAAGTAATTAAAGTTCAAAAAGTGATCAAGTTGGTTAATTGATAGGCTATACTTCAGACTTTGTTAATGAACTGTGCATGCACAAGAGTCATTTATCCTAAATAGCTCAAGGCCGGATAAATCAGTTGTCAAATTCGACCAAACTGGTGAAGCGTATACTCTACGCACGATCTAACAAACGAACAACGAGATCTGACTGGTTATAAGACCGACCACGGGTTCTGTTTTTCAAAAAAGTAGTCGTCTATTTGACAATATGTCATGTCCAACATTTTGAATTGGCCACTGAGACTCAAACAGATTAAAATTTCCTGGTTAACCTAGAAATTGGGCTAACTGAATGTTCCTGGTCAGATTTCGTGGTCACATTGTAAATCTTAAACTAAAAAAATTTTTAGGTGTCAATGACATAATTATAATTGGAGCCTACCAAAATATAGTCATAACACTCTTGAAGAATATGTATTTGTTTTCGTAATAATAAAAATGAGGTATCTGCATGTATAATTATATTCTGAAAAATATTGTCTATGCAAAGAAATAATATAACTAAAGAACTTACCGTTTTAGCAACGTAAATCCAATCTGTTTCGCTATTGTTGACCATAACTAAACCTCGTTTAGAATTAAAATTTAAAATTATATCTGTCAAAATATGTAATCCCACAAACGAACCAAAATTCAATACCTTGTCGACTAAACTTGGTTGGCGTCAATGAAATAACTACGTTCTTGCGTTTAATACAATGTTGTTAAAATGAACTTGTGTTGTGTTTGGCTTCCGTAAACAGAATGATCAGTGTTTGTGCACATGTTCTTTTAAATCTCTTTTGGTTTTATAATGTTTCATTGTTAATCAACTGATCACATGATCTGTTTGCATGGCTTTGTGATGATCTCTTTTATAATCAACCCGGCGGGCTTGGTTGAAAGTACCGAGCAAGAGAACATGGTATAAAATGTAATCGGGAAAAGTTAATTAGAATGCTTGTGCTGCTTGTCAACAGGTAAATGTTAAAATGTGGACGAATTTGGTCATGTATATTTAGAATTTGACACCGATTTCACAATATTAGATATTTACTGATGTATAGATATTTACTGATGTATAACTGATAGCAATTATTTTTTCAAAACTTTTTTAGTTTTAGATCCATTCAATGCATGCTGTCATATAGAATTAATTATAGATGAGACATTTGAGTCATGCAATGTTGTAAGACATCGGATACAAAACACTGAGGTGGCCAAATTTTAAATCAAATGCCCAACTTGTAAAAAGTTACCTGAAATAGTGAAATAAACAGGCATCTTTTTGTGCAATAAGGTCGTTCAATGGAAGATCTTTTAGATAGGAAATTGATCTATGAAGACAAAATAATTAATTTATGAAATAGTATTTCTTAAAAAATACATGTACAATTGAAAAGGTTACATAGATTTTAAATAGTATGCAATAATAATTCAATTTATCCAATCTACAGATGACTGCACTGACTCGGAAACTTATAACAACAATCAAGAACCAAAAAAATATGCAGCCAACAAACATAAAAATTATGTGTGTGGCTCAATATTTAGCGTGCGCGCTGTTCGTTGTAGCAATGCAAGAATGCGGGAGAAATAAATGTGACTTTCCTCTAGAGGCTTACGAGAATACAGGAAATAAAGTTTGAATTCTTCTTATATTTGCTCTTTCTGAACCAGTTGCTTGAATAGATATCCTTTCGAAATGTTAATAATATGTGTTCAATCCAATATCATTATTACAGATGATATTTCTCAAAAGAGTTGAATACGCAACAACGAAATAGGCCAACAGAAGTTTATGCTATCATGTTTTTTATAATACAGACAAATTAAATAAATTATATTATTTTAATTGACAACACGCCTTACTTGAGATAACATATGTGTTCTGGTTCCTTTCCTCTGCCATCACTCATAAATATATCACAAAAATCCTGCAAGAAAGAAAATATTGCAGGAATAAAAATAATCCGGTTCGAAGGACCACGTTCTGATTTTCATTACGCGTTTTTTTATTGAATTAAACCACCGAGTCGTTTCATGCTAAATTTGACTAGATATGTTGAACATTAAGTATCTATCATTGTACAGTATTTTCCCCGGTAGTATTCAATCAACTCTCACCAATTCTCATACAACTCTTGTACTCGTTTGATCCGGGCTTTAAGATAAAAAGGGTGGCAGCAAGCTACTTAGTCGTACGAGGACTAGTGAATGGAGATTAATTTAGCAAGCAATACAAGGCCGTACGATAAAAGTTGTAATTTATATACCTTTCGTCCAACGGCCAGCAATGATACATCATCCTTACAAACCACGGTCGCATTTCTACAACGATGATGCAACAAGGCCAGTTCCTTCAAGAATACAACACATTAGTGATTAACTATTTACACAATAATTAATCTCACCTGTTTAATTGGTCGTCGTTGAAGTTTTAAATTCTAATCTCACTACTACAATTCATTCAGTTACCCCAAAGCTGCTTCCTTTTCCGAGGCGAGCAACTCTTCTCGTTTTCTCTTTACCATCTTGCTTTAAGTTGAACGCCTTATTGATGAGAACTAGGAAATAGTAAAATATCAATATCTATATAGAGCACATTGCCTGTCGTAAAGTAAGGGTTTTAAGCATCTACAAAATCAGAAATAGAAAACTTGTTTCTGCATGACCTGATGGTTATACGCCAGTTTAAAATGTTCTGCACTTTTGTTATTTAATTCATAAGTTAAATGTGTACACTTCTTGGACATATTTTTGTACAGAATATGGCTAATTATCTTCTCATTGATTGCGAACTATGCAATTATTATCCCATGTTCCAGCTCGAACTTTGGGCAGAATAAAACACCCAGTTTATATGGACGGTTTCATTCAGTTGTAGAATTAAATGCTGCACTATCTATAACGATACTTGCAGGCAAATAAATTGCTTCCTATAATAAGTATTAACCACTGGTGATCTAGAGTTCCCTAACCTCTACAGGGTCTCACCAGTTTTTGAGATTTTTTATAATTTATCTTTAGTACGTTTTAAAGTTAAAATTTTTACATCGTTTATATTTAATACCTTAGGTGATTCAGAAGTAGCTCATTCATTATTTATGCTGCAGGTTCTTGTTTACTCAAACTTGTAATAATATTCATTAATGCTGTATATTTTCATTATACTCATATTAATAGCAAAAATATAAACTTCAACATCAACCTTGTCAATTATTTTGATAGAGTAAGATATGCAATGTTAGACAGCATTATTGTGGTAAAATACGTCTTATATAACGATAAGGTAAGCTTTTTTGTCCAGCTAGTGAAAATCTACTGAATGACTTCACCTTTCTTAAATGCCATATAATATGTACAAACTCACCAATCCCCGAGAGAATAAAGTAAAAACACTCTGCTTGATGCCCTTGACGGATTATGATGCGCCCACCTTCAAATCTAAGAAATAGAGAAATTAACAATAACATCAGACCAATTTCCCAAAGACCACTAAGGTATTTACATCAAAAAGTTTATTTAAAGCATATCGTTTATATCGAAAATTTATTAAATGTAAATTCTTTAAGCCCCAAGTAAAAAAGAAGCAGAGAAAGGAAATAAGAAGCAGGAAGTAAGAACGGAATTCAAGTAGAGGGGAAAAATCAAGAGAACAAGGAGTAATAAAGGGCAGGATTAAAGGGGAATAATAAGAAGAAACAGGATGTTGGAAGAACGAAGTGAAAAGATAAAAGGAAAATGAAAGGGGAAGAAAAGAAGATGTAGAAAGGGAAGAATAAAAAAGGAAATGCGTTGAATTGTCGTATTAACAAAATGTAAACAGCTAGTAACAATTCGACAGAATGAAGATTCAACTAAGGACTTTGGAGCGGATGTGATAGGTTATAGAAAGTTGAGCTTATTTAGATCTCGAACGTTTTCAAGAAACGGGAATAGAAAGAAATATTGTATACTCAGCCAATCAAAACAGGCGTTTATTCAAAGTACAAACTGCGCCACATACGGAGTTTTGAAAAGAAAGAGAGATGACAGATAATAATAAGATAACGGAGAGCAAAGAGTAGAAAGGAAACGATAAAAAGAGGAAAAGGTATGAAACGGCGGCGGTGACGACGCCGTCGACCACGAACACGACGTCGTCGACGACTTCCTTATTGTCATCGTCATCGTCAGTCGCCATTAACAACAAAAAAAAGATAAAAAATAGGATTTCATAGCAAGAGCTCGCATTTGCCTCACCTTTCATACCAGCAAACTGAAATCAGTTGTTTTTGCATTTTTAACGGATACTCGTTAAAAGCAGGGACACTTGTCTTTACAGCCATCATTGCCTATATACACAACAGCAAACAAATTTAAATTAAGTATTATACCCCATCACCAGGATCTATCCAAGTGAACTCTTCGTGTATTTCCTCCTTTAAATTACTTCATGTAAACCTATAAAATATAGCGCCCGGGGACGAGGCAGGCCACAAGGGGAACTTGACTTTGAATACTCAGTTCGTACTCAATCCATCGTTTAATCTTATCGGCTGCCAACGTGGAGGAAGCAACAGGAAATGAAGAAGAACTCGAAGTTACTAGGCAACGGAGGAGGTGAACGTCTGTATTCAAATGTGACCTAAATCTATATGAGACGTTAATAAGACAAATGTAATCCAATCCAATATTACCGTTTGAATTTGCTCGTTTGTGCGACTTGGAGGATTTAGTGAGAGCAGATGTATAGCTTCTTGACTTAATGGAACCTATTAAATGGAAGAGAAAATTAAGTTGTATAATTACGGAATGTAGTGTTTTTAGAAATTGTCCAATTTGCATTTTATATTATGCGCCGATTTTATATCGTAAAGCCTAATTCTGGATTAATTTCAAAGCAGAAATTAAAGACTGAAGGCTCGGTTTTGTCGACGTCTTCTGAAGAAGCGTGATAGTATAGTATACAACTGTACCTCTTTTAGAGCTTTAAAATCAAGAGGATCAAAAACAGATTTAACTTTTGCATTATCAATTTTGTCTTCAATCATTTCTTCAACAGCAACTGCCACCGACGAACATTTACAACAGAATCTAAATAGTAATGTTTCAGTTATACATCTGGTCTTGGTTTTTCAGCAGGAAGATGCATTATAAAATAACGTTAACTATCACATCTTGTCACTAAGATTTGCGGTTCACAAATATAATCATAAATAAACTACTTTCTTTTCTTTTCTGACAATTTTACATCAAATTCAATAACTATATAATTAATGATTACCTTTGATACAGCAATTTTACTCTCACGAGTAGCTTGACCAGATGGGCGATACGTCTAAATCTCTCTAACGGTCTCATCTGAAACATCGACAATGTCATTAGTTTGGACGTCATCAATCCCACATCAAAATGTAGTAGCATATTTGTTTCTGTGTTATTACTATTATATAGTTTTACATGCAGTACAACATGTTAACTCGAACTCCCTTAACTCGAACTCCCTGCAAATTCGAACAAACTCTAATTTCCCCTGGATTTGACTCAATTGTTACAGTAATTTACTCCGGTTAACTCGAATTTGCTTTAACTGAAACTGCTCACTACACTGTAAATTCAAAAGAGTAGTTTTGACCCCTTGAAAGGATTGTTTTTTTTTACCCCAGGACTACCCTTTCAAAAGGGTCGTTTCAGTCCCTTCGGTGCTTACTCTTCGAAAGGGTAGATTTTACCCTTTTCAGAGGGTAGTTTTAACTCCTCAAAGGGTAGCAACGTTACCCATCGAAAGGGTCGTTTCAGCTATTCCAAAGGGTCGTATCAGCCACTTTCAGCTATTCAAAAGGATCCTTTCAGCTATTCAAATAGGTCGTTTCAGCTATTCAAAAGGGTCGTTTCAGCTATTCGAAATGGTCGTTTCAGTTATTCGAAAGGTTTACCCGGTTAATTAACTGAACCCGAACTGTATTTTTGAGACGTGGATCCGCAAACCTCGAAATGTCAGAGTAGCACATATTGGAAGCTTGGGTTTCTATTCCGACAACGTGATACAAGTCGATAAATAAATAAAAGGTTCAACAAGTTGCGTCGATCATTATACCGGTTTATAGCTTATATATAGGTACTGTTGCATGGTAGCTAGTACTGTGCTATTAAACACTGTGATAGGGACTGTTTACTTATAAGAAACATTAGTATTTATACACGAGTGAATATAAGAAATCCGACGCGGTGATTGGTAAAATTTGACGTGATATTTAACAATTATATTCGCCTCAGGCTCGGTGATTATCGGGGAATATCGAGACGAAGTCAAGTTCACGACGAATTTTGCCAAAATAGTCGTTCTGAACAAAGGCAGAAGAACGAAAACGGGACGTGCATTCATCAATCTCCGCCGTTCATTGTCTTGGTCAGGGACAGGGTCATGAGGGTACGGATTAGGAACAGCATTCATGAACAGGTAGACGTGCAAGAAATCTATATCCCACGGTCGTTGAACAACCACCACTTACCCCAAACTTAGTACATATCAGGTAAGTACATGTCAGGTATCGTGCAGATGGGCAAAAATTGTCTTCACGCATGGACGTTATTCGTTCTCTTGCTCAACTTCTCTACCTACTTTTCCTACACCACAGGATGTATTTGTTGTTTATTTTCTGTATATGTTTTTTGTAAGATTTTTTCACTTATAATAAATAGAAGAATCCATGCAGGACAGGTTTCGAGAATATGACCCTCACCTTCGGATCTTTTCTTCTCACGGCGGAAAATCGAAGCAAATTTCTGTAGCTTTTGAAGCGCGACAGTCCAAGACAATCACTTTTATCATACTGCACTGAGTTTTCCTGTTCCGCATCTTCTGAAAGTTCTGTTTTATTACTCTTATTGACAGATTTTTTTAAATTTTCAACAAATTTATCCACTAGATCATTCTTTTTACGTCTGCCATCCAGTGAAGTCGCTAAAACTGTACTACTATTTCGACGTTTTCTTCCGTCTTTCGTTCTTTTGGTGTCCTAAATAAAACCATTAATAATAAAACAGTTACTGATTATTGGAATATCAAGGTCGAGGTATCGGAAATGACAATTAATGATACACTATACTGATAAACTATAGGCTACAGGTTATATATAAAAAAGGTAATAGAACGTCAGTGCGCTATTGTATCTGAATTACTCTGCGTATGAACGAGATTTTTTCATATTCGGAAAGATCGGGCTTTTGACTATAGCTGTTGAATGATATGTTCTTGATGCCAAATGAAAAAAAAATGAGCAAATACGAATCCGATAAAAAATGTTAGTCAGAATCGCATATTTTCACCGTTGAGTGTTGGGTCTAAAACCATTTTAAATTAACCCCCTTTGGACATAATTAAGTTGGTTAAAATTCACTTCCGAATACCTACGCACATGGTCATAATTATTATTAAGTACGAATAAATCTTAGCTAAACTACGACAAGTTCGTGATTAATTGCTTTTTTCTTTTGTTATGCACTGCTTTAATTAGGCACAGAGGGGAAAATATGCGATTCTGCATGACTAACATTTTTTATCGGAGCTAATTTTTTCTCCACTTGGCATGAATAGTCATGAATAGCATGTCATTCAATAGCTATCTTTCGGATTATGAAAAAAAAATGTTCATACGCCAACTAATTCACGAACAATAACGCGCTGAATTTCGAATTCGATTACCTTTTTTTGATACACACTGTATAGTTACCGTGAGCTTGAATGATAATTCTGGATATCACGAATGCCGAATAATAAATAATTGTTTTATTTTTCATTACATTTTTAATAAAACACATTAAACTACGTATAGACAAACAATGAGTTGTCGCACAATATCAACCATAATATGTCACGTGCAGTGGCTTTAAACATGATAAAACACTCCTAATTAGTATTCTTTATATAAAGAATACTAATAAGGCAGTATCTATTGTAGTCGTGTTCCATTAGTATTCTTTATATGAAGAATACTAATAGGACAGTATATCTATTGAATTTGTAGTCGTGTTTGAAGCCGTTTAACAAAACTCGCAGGTCGTGTTTTATTAGGTCTAAAGCCACTCGCGCTGCGCGCTCGTGGCTTTAAACTGACCTAATAAAACACTCCTGCTCGTTTATTAAACAGTACTTAATTCTTGAAAATAAAGCTGCCGCTTGTTATGAAATATCACTAACCCAATCTACAGATAACAGTTTTTTTTAAATTAACATTTAATCATATTTAATTTATTATTGTAAAAAGGTACAAAATAACAAAAATGAACGGATTTGTGAAATTGAGAGCCGTTTCAAAATTGTCTACTTTTTTTATACACCCTGCATATTTTGAGCATTTTTCTTTCGCGTACTCTTTGAGTGTTATCAGCCAGTGAGTATCCATTCATGCAGGACTCTGTGTTTGCCCACCTTAAGCTGCTGTGCAACAATTGTCCATTTTGACGTCGTCTTTGCCTGCGATGATTGCAAATCTGGGATGGATTGTATGATTGAATTACGTCTTGTTGAAGTCGTAGAGATAACTAATATAAGAAAATGAAATCGTACAAAATTGATAAAATAACTTCGAAACCTTTTTACAAGATTATGATTATAGGCCTAATGTTACAATTATTCCGCATTCACCTAAGACGACCCGCTAAGACGTCAGTCAGCTCACGAAGTCCATGCAATTGCATGAGTATAGAAATACAATGTTAATGTGCGACTAACCACAAATATGATTTTTGTGTCAAAGTTTCCGCATAAAACGTCATTAGGTGAATTTTTGGTACAAAAGAATAAGGAAAACTAATTTGCAATTCAACTATAATGACATCATATCCGGAAATTGTCGAGTGATTTACGATATTGGAAAATTGACCGACAGCTCATTGGAATCTTAATGAAGCTGATATTGAACGAAAAGGAAAAACTGAGGAGGTTTTCATTGCTTTTTCATAATTACGAAATAACAAAATATTCGCGTCATGTCATCTTTACATATCTTTATTACTGATTCAACGGAGAATTGAACTCACGACCACGCGCTTCAGTTCTGCGATGGCAATGCTTTTTAGCATCGCCCTCAACTTAGCTCAAGTTAACTGAGTTAAGTTAAATTTCAATCTGTTTACGGTTATTAACATTATACTGTAGATGTAACTGCATGGGGCGACTTGGCGCTTTTATTGTGTAGGGGCGCCTAAAAGGGGAGGGGGGAGGGGGGGGGGGAGAAGGCAATTTTCTCCGGGACGCGGGTAAGGTCTCCCCAAATAAAAACTATAAAGTGAAATATGCATAGATATATAACTGTCAAATAGTCTCCTTTAAAATGTAGGTCCTGTCGCACTTCTATTTTTCACCGGGAGACAATGCCCTGGCTAACGTATTTAGTATATGCGGCTAACGTATCTAGTATATGCGACGAACATGAGGGTCCCTAAATTGATATTTTGGCCTGGGCTCATATATATATATATATACCTAAATTGATATTTTGGCCTGGGCTCATATATATATTATATATATATATTTATTTGTGTGTGTATGTAGATATGTATGTATTATGTTATGTTGTGTTATTGTTCACTCCGTAATATGATAAGTTGAAAAATTAACGTTCTCGAGTGTGTATTTCATAATTTCCAGACAGCGCGCAAGCGGAAAGATATTTCCTGCCGCGGCTGGGTCTATATACATATATATATATATATATATATATATATATATATATATATATATATATATATATATATATATATATATATATATATATATATATATATACCGCATATACTAGATACGTTAGCCGGGGCATGGTCTCCCGGAGAAAAATAGAAGTGCGACAGGACCTACATTTTAAAGGAGACTATTTGACAGTTATATATCTATGCATATTTCACTTTATAGTTTTTGTTTGGGGAGACCTTACCCGGGTCCCGGAGAAAATTGCCTTCTCCCCCCCCTCCCCTTCTAGGCGTCCCTACACAATAAAAGCGCCAAGTCGCCCCATGCAGTTACGTCTACAGTATAATGTTAATAACCGTAAACAGATTGAAATTTAACTTAACTCAGTTAACTTGAGCTAAGTTGAGGGCGATGCTAAAAAGCATTGCCATCGCAGAACTGAAGCGCGTGGTCGTCAGTTCAATTCTCCGTTGAATCAATAATATATATATATATATATATATATATATATATATATATATATATATATATATATATATATATATATATATATATATATATATATATATATACTATATGAGATGATGAGATGAGGATGATGGATGTGGGGCAACAATGAGATGAGGATGATGGATGTGGGGCAACAATGAGATGATGGATGTGGGGCACATAAATTATATATACGACAAGATCGCCATTCAACCTAATACGCAAGATCTCTGCATGTCACAGATTTAAATCAGCGCAAAGGCCTATAGGCAATTGTGCTCCAAGCTCACTACCAGCAACTGCGGACAGCTGTTTTGCCCTTTTGGTGCTCGTCAGAGCAGTGTAGCTGATAGTGAGCTTTTCATCCGAAAAGTATTTATACAACCAACAATGAGATGATGGATATGGGACACATAAATTATATATACGACAAGAACGCCATTCAAACAGCTGTCCGCAGTTGCTGGTAGTGAGCTTGGGGCACAATTGCCTATAGCCAGTATAGGCCTTTGCGCTGATTTAAATCTGTGACATGCAGAGATCATGCGTATTAGGTTGAATGGCGTTCTTGCATGTCGTATATATATATATATATATATATATATATATATATATATATTTATATATATATATATATATATATATATATATATATATATATATATATATATATATATATATATATATATATACATATACATATACATATACATATACATGACGAAAAATACTAAAATTGCAGTTAGGATTTATATTAAAAGATTAAAAGTTTGATTCTTGTCACCAGGTATATAAAAAACGTAATCAAGTTTATAAAAAGTTTTACAAGACGTCGGATCAGAAATTTCCGATCTTAAAAACTAAGAAGCCAATAAACAGGCCTTTACTTTATATACAGTCCGTTAGTTATTAATTTAGATGCATCAGAAACCCATAAACGTCTGGAATGTCAATATATGGTCATTTCCAGAACTTTTGTCCACTTGGGAATACCAAGCCCGCTCAAGGAACAATCGTTTGCTCTACTACTACTAATTCGGCGTTTTCAAAGCAGTCCTTACTAAGGTTATATTGCTCAACGTGTTGGGCTATCTTGGAATTCTTATCATTATATTCAACAGCTCTTTTATGTTGTTTTCAATGCTCGGTTAGTTTTGACCATAACTAAGTAAAATTACACGCGATAACACCGGCAAGGAAACCATTGATAAAAATACATTAGAATAACTAAAGATCGCGTTTAGAGGTCTACATGCAGTAACAACATTACTTAGTGTCGTATCAGAGCTTCTGAAACTACAGCGTGGTGAGATTTGATCGCCGGTCTGGGTCTGTCTTTCGGCCCTGGCATCTATAGCTATGAAGTTATTTAACATTTTTGCCGGGTATTGTCCCCAATAAGTAGAAACTCCTAAGATCTCTAATTATGACGTCGCAATTATAGACCCTGCAGGATATTAATTAAACTAGGCTAATATACTCGATTATATGCTGAGCTCGATATATATATACTCACCCAACATACCTCTGTCTGCCTGAATGGCTTGTCTACTTGGATAAAAGTGGGATCAGTACTTTTATACCGATATTTTGAACTGTATATTTATATAGTAAAATACAAGATATCAGAAGTCAAATGGCCTGGATACCTATAGCAGTATAGGTGAAACCCATGCAGGCTCGGTCTGCAGAGTAACGGGAATGGTCGTTCGTTCCGATGCCTTTGTGGGAATTAATCTGTTAAACGTGGCGAAACTTAGGGCACCTCGCAAAAATTTGGGATCCACCTTGAGTGCATGTATATACGTACAGTACAATTTAACACACTAAAATCAAAGCATTACTTATCACTATAGTAATATTTATTGTGATATGTAAATATAGTTTGCAATTATATACAATTTACGATTACTGTTTAAAATTATCACTATATTATACTTGTTGTGTTTTAATCATTACCAAGAGGTAAAAGAATAGTGTCAATACTGTCAATAAGCAACAATGTCAGCATCAATTTGCTAAGCTTGTTCAGTTGCCATGTTGATTAAACAGTGCAAATTTTAAGCGGCCACTACGACTGAACAAGACATGCATGATTAAATCATACCGGAATACACGAACGGTGACTTAAAATAGTTTAAAGGCATAAAGCAACCACAACATTACCAAAACTTAGTATATACCTTTAGATAGAGGAATTATGCTTTCGGTATCGTGTTGTTTCGTTTCCATTGTGATCGTCTCAATCCCTTTCGATACACTCAACACACCGATTCTGGGCAGAATTGTTAAGCTTATAGTTACGCGATTATACTTTTTGATAGTCTTGTTAGTCACTAACGACCTAATAAACATTGTATTGAACAAAAGGGAAGACAAAATGAAGAAATACAATTAAGTGTCGGCGACTTAGGCCAATTCGGCAGCGTGCTCAATTTTGCACGATTTCGCTCTTCGCGTTCACACGGGACGCATAAAGGTCCAGACACACCGGGTGCGATTCGACAACGCGACACGATTTTTCGATTTTCACTAACCGATAACTTTAATAGATCCTAGTTTAAATTTTCCAAATATTTAGAAGCGTTATAACATTTTGAGTTATTTGGTCTACATATCTTTCAAAATTTGCTCTCATTGGCTGTTTTATTAACTTTCAAAAACTAAAAAATCGCGTCGCGTTGTCGAATCGCGTCCGATGTGTCTGGTTGTCTGGACCTTAAATCCCAGAACGGCCGCAAACCGAATACCCGTGTGAAGCAAGGTTGTGGATCTATGAACTCTTCACGTTTCGGCTGAATTCATTGTGAACGTTGCCTCATAGCGGTGAAATTAAGCGATCATGCATAAACTAATACTATCTACACGACGACATCAGAGAGTAGAACGATAGCATTTTTATGAATTTCAAGTACCATCGTTTTGTGATTTGTATCAATAAGCGCCCGAAAATATCTATCCCTCCCCCGTCGCTTTATATTGTTAAAAATTCCGCATTTTATATACTCTCAGCAAACGTGAGCAAGCGCAAATTACGTACGGTTCCAAATCCACCTCGCTTGAAAGTAGTTGATTGCTAAGTTCTAAAATGATGGCGCTTTAGAATTGCAGAGATTCACGAATTTTCACAGTGAATTGAGAAATCAGACGGCACCGCGAAGCTGGGGGGCTAGGGGGAGGACGCTCCCATTTTTTACCCGAGTAAAAGAAGAATACAGTAATTATATGGTTAAGATAATATGACCACAGGCAAGTCGATCATTACATACAGACTTCGTTCATTCGCCCCCCCCCTCACTTCCCAACACACTCAGCGGTCACTGGAATGGTATATGACGCACTTTACCAGAATCGTGCATGTGAAATATCCGAGATCAAGCTCGAGTCGACAATAGGCTTAACGGGTATAGTGACGGAAAACAAAGAAAATAACATTTTTTAAAGATTTAATTGCTTTCCACTTTCTATAAAGAAGTACAACTTTGTTCATGATCATTGCCCAAATAATACCCAAATAATAAACTTGTCTGTCACACCCTGTATATGTTTGCATTTGCTAAAGTGTAATAAATAGATAAATATTAAACACTTAGATATGTCTCAAAACGTCATATCCCGGAACATCTCGACATATCGCTGAGCTTGAATTACAAATACAAATATTTTGTTGACTTTACATTACTTATAGCAACAAATGTTCAAATATGTTTAGACTGAAACAATTCTTTAAACAGTAGAATGGAGGCATTTTACAAAAGGTTATGTTTCTCTTTGGTTAGAAGATATTTCAGTTTATTTGATATGTAAATAAGATGACGTCACAAGCTGGGAAACCTTTTTGACAGTCCACAGGACTCTTAAATCTCCACATTTTTGTGTGCATGTGTTAGTCAATCATGGAATCGTCGATACATACTTAAATGATTTCATATCATGACTTTGAACAATGAGCTTGATGAATTCGTCGTGATGACTGCCATCTTTGAAAATATTAGCAGTGTGTATGTGCATGTATATTGATGCGTTGATGTCATCGTGTTGTACCACATGTCCACATGCCTTGGTGAGAGCAAGTTATGCGAAATACGAATGCATCGCGTATCTAGACGTGTACCAAGCTGCACTGGCGAGGCGTAGAACGCCGAAACATGCATGTCTGCAGTTTGTACTATTACGTTCCTTCACTTCGGTGTTGGCCGTGAGCACTCTGCGGAGTTGTTAAAGGCACAGTTCAGCCTTATTGAATGATGGTTTTTAAGGCACATTTCAGCCCTTTTAATTGAAAAACTAACTACGAAAATCAATTAAGCATGATTCAAGATTAGCAAACTTAATGTTTTTATCATTTTAAAACATTTTTACTGTCAAAAACATTCAGAGTTTACCGATTGAATTATGCATAATTGATTTTTTTAGTTAGTTTTTTCAATTCCAATTACAAGGGCTGACTAGGCGAAGGCCTATAAGCATTAATTGTTTCGCCTAATCATTGTTTCGCCTACACGCATTCCGCACATTCTTTCGATAGCATAAAAGCAATCTATATTTTCGAAATTACTCCTCATGCACCTGATGATTCCTGTATACGGATGATTGGATGAAACAGACTGTTGTGGTTTTTTGAGGTAAAACGAAAACTATATATATATATATATATATATATATATATATATATATATATATATATATATATATATATATATATATATATATATATATATATATATATATATATATATATATATATATATTTCATATTTTTATGTCTTTGTTTGACATTCGACAAAGCAGCAACACTCGCTAAGTACGAGGCGCGCATAAGTCTATACAATAAACTATAGAGTGCTCAAAGGCCTGGACACTACGTTTGATCACTATCAGATCACGTAGTGAGCTCACGAGTGGAAGGAAATAAAGTAAGCAAGACCTTGAGAAAAAAAACTCAACAAAAAATATCGAAATCATATATATATATATATATATATATATATATATATATATATATATATATATATATATATATATATATATATATATATATATATATATATATAAATAGAATCTTCGTCTTAGAATCATATATGAGTAAACTGCTCGATTTCCTGAAGTATAGAGCTAATATCAAAGATAAAATAAAATAAACCTAGTTTACTTCATAAGATTTATTCACGACATTTAAATTTATCACACTGAAATTTATCACATTGAAATTTACCACATTTAGATCTGTAGCTCATCGTCATAATTAACATGAAAACAGTTTTCATATAAAATTGCTAATATCGTGATGAACTTGTAACCAATATACCTGAATTGTATTGGCTTGCAGAGAAATTATATAACTTACATTGGCTTGCGGAGAAATTTGTTTTGTATGAAGTTTTTTTTATCTAAATTAAGGTTTGGTAATTTAAAATTCGACAGAAACGTGGGCGTCATTGACAGCATGCAGGGAGCTTAAGCACTCTTCAACACGGACGTCAGGTTGCCGAGGGGAGATTGGATTATAAAAACTGTGTTTGTGTCAGTTTGTGAACTTTGTGGTAATCTTTAAAACATATGACAAAACATAAGATTTTTAAAGTTTTTTGCTTCCTTACGCGAGCGCTATGAGGCACAATGCCGCCACTGATTATAGGCATACCATTTTCGGGTGACGTCGGTGTTGACAAAAAATGTAGCTTGCTTTAAGCTCACTAATATAAAATAAGGCAAGCATGCATGCAGAACAATTATCAAGACGAACTGATCTGTGAAATTTAAGTCGTCTTGAAGGACGGTCCGAATATCCAATATCAGACAAGCTATCAGAGAACTAGAGCTGTATAGCTAACCAGCGTTGGCTAACTTATCGCACTGAGTTACTGATAGGGTTAGTATATAGGTGATGTGCAAGTTACATCACCGTCGTCATGTCAAAGGATTTTGCTTGTTTGCAATGCAAATTTCATGCAACATGGCGAAATTCGCTTTGTCTTTTTAATCCCATGGGAGTGGTTGTACATCACCTATACATTCAGCTATAGTGCATGTTATTATGATTAGGAAACTGAACACTGGCAATGAAAGAAAGCCTTATAAAACTCAACGATTCTTGGCGGTGGACCTTGGAGAACCTTGGCCTCTTTTATAGTTCAGTATATTTGAGCTTAGTTGCGAGACTGTCCAGACATATATAGGTCTCAAACAATTTGAGATTCTGGTCAGTGCGATTTGGTGACCTGTGTGATACCATATTCTGTTTATGGGTCCACTCGATTGATGAGAAATTTGCTACAGCAGCGAACTACAATCACTTCGCTACTACCCACTTTGTATTTTAAACATTGAATAATTAAGGACAAAAAGTTCTTATACTGAATGAAAACGTCATTTTGATTTGAAGACAGCACTAATGACTGTAATTAAAATGATGGAGCATTTTGGCCATATAGCCATAGATCGTCCAATGGCTTCTTTCAAAAGCACCGTCTGAACGACAAATACTTACCTAGACTTTAGTTACAGCCTACAGGTTAAGAGTAATTTATTCTTAGAGCTCTTTTACTGTATAGTGAGATTTGTTGTATACTGTCAAGTGAAACAAATGTTTAAAATACACTCAAAGTTGAACTGGGATAAAGGTCATGCATATTTATCAGTCGTCAATATAAACAGTATGTGTCCAAACACAGCAGGTCTAATGTATGTCTAAATATATAATTTTCCCAATTCCAGGCATAGCTTAGGCTTCCGGTTACTTCATGCGACATATCAGCTTTACAAGCGACATACTTCCTTGAAATTGCTGAGGCAGATTTATCATCTCGCAGTATTACATGGCTCTTTCACAAGAAGCAAAAGCGATTAAAGGTGTGGGTATATGAATAATGTCGGTATATGATTTCCTTATCATAAACGTACAGGTGTTTTTGAGCCAATATTTATTGTTCTAGTACCGTCCTTGGCATCTCAACTTGACGGCGGAATGGCCTGGGTTATATGAAGAGATATATAAACAAAAGAAATATATAAAGACAATAATACAACTATTGGGATACAACAAGAAACACATAACAATACACGGATACGACAAGGATAAGACTCAAATGGCGAGGGTATTCTCGCAGATCTGGTAGTGCAGACAAAATTGTAAGCTGTAGACCAAAACCGGTTCGCCTTCGGTCTTGCCATCGCAGACTGTGTCTGCTCGAAAGAGAAATTTATGTAGAGCAATACAAAGGTAACTATTTACAATTATTCTCAAATCTCAAGCGGGTTCGAGGTAGTGCATGAAGACGAGTGTATATAGACAAGGTTGAATTATGAAGGATTGTATTTTAGAATTGGAAGTATAACGCGAGCAATTATAAACAGATAAATAAACACAGACACAATAGTACAAGAATAAGACTGTACACGTATTCTTTGGCGAAGAAATTTTCAAGCGGATGCGGACGAGATCAATATTGAGTAAATAAACTCGTAAACGCTTACGTTAGCAGATAATGTAAAGTATTTAGTGCAGTAATATAAAAGTTATCACGAAACAAATTGTCATGTCACCGGTCAATGAAATGGCAGCTCCCCAAGGGCACGGGTACTCGATGGATCGTATTACTTTATCAGACCAATTGGAAAGCGGGAGTAAAGTTGGATATTGGATGATCATGAAAGGGCATTATAATGCAGCAAGCGGGCTAGATGGACGTATTAATGCCCCACGCAATGTTGAACTACCACAAAGTCAAGGTGCTTCTTCAACTATGACATCGTCAATGAGTTGTGGCATTGAACAGTCGGGCTATTCGTATGTTGATCTGCCCCAAACACCACAAAATGGGGTACAACAAAGTTTAGTTGAAAACTGTGAAGATACTTCTGCAACTTTGAGATCGTCTTCAATATTCAGTAGCAACAAACAGTTAAACTGCTCATCTACGGTGAATCAAATTCCCTCTTTCAACTTGCCTGGTTATGCTTGCGCAAATACGACGTCTTCTTGCGATACTTCAGGTGTTCCATTCCAATCTCCATTCAAAAACCTACAAACCTACCAATGCTCTAAACCTTATGAAACAACCAATAACAGGAATAATCCATCGACAGTCCCCTCGTCTAGTATAAACGATCCGTCTTGTTCAACTTGGCTCGATGCAAATACCTTCCGATTTAATCCTACACCAAATACTAGCACTCCAGATTTACAGAGTCCAGTGGCAAACCAACAAACTGCCGTTAACCAACTCTCACAATGCCTCAAACCAACCAGTAATGTTCCCCCTCCTTTTGGTCCAAATGAATTTAAACTGACAATCTCACTTTCGCCTTGGGATGTATCAATGCAAAACGTGGAATGGATGTATATTGATAAAACTGGCCTGAAACTCACCCTCAATCTGAATACATCATTTTTACTGGAACATCTGTATAATACATACAGTAGGTTAAATTCTACAATCACAATGAGGCTGCCAGAGACGGGACGAGAGTATCAGATTTGTCCAAAAGATATGGAAATGATTGATGTGTATACTGGAGAGAAAATTGCACTGTTTAGACAGATCAATATGCCTGATCTCGTTCAACCACTACAGTAAGTATCTCTCTTATGTATAATTTCCTGATTTATTGTAATTATGTTTTTAGCATATATACGTCGTTCCATGTTAATTTACTAATGCGGAAAAGTCCTGTGCCGGAATCGAAATTTTTCAGTGCAATTCCTTATATGATTCTCTCACCTTATGAGAGAATCCTAAGGAATTGTACTGCTTCTTCAGGAATAAATTATGAAGATGTGAAAATTTTACAACTCTGTTAAATTTATTTAGGACTGGTCTCATGAGTGAATTTCCATTGCTTTGGTCACCGCAACAGAATGACATTGAGTTAGTTACGCTGGACAAGGGAAAATCGGAATATCGTACTATAAGAAACACATTTCTATGTAGTATGCCAGAAAGTTGTGTCATTGGAATTGAGAGAATCCAAAACAAGAAACTGTTTGTAAGATATGCTTTCCAGAAAGCTATGTTGTTAGATAAAAATTCTGGTAAGTCATTTTAAAATACCCTAGTTCGATTGTAGATAAATTTTTGTTGCAGATAATATCTTGAGGGTTGGGTAATTCCAGTGTACCGGGTGTCCCAAAAAAAACTTGCGCTGTTTGATTTAATTTAACATAAAAAACTATAAAAGCTATTGCACTCAAATATGTTATATTGTATTCAGAAAGGCCTAACTTAGATTTTGATATGTAACATTTGAATATCCGTGCAATATTTACTGAGCTTTCGATGTTTTAAATCGAATAAGCATATTTGACAATGTTAAAAATTTGCATAAAATTGCCTGTCAAATATTATTTGGTTAAACTGACTTGATTAGGCCTATATAGATTATAGTTTTATTGTGGCCAAAAGAACGAATGAAAAACATAATTGTTGGATAAACATTTATTCATTTATCATAGAAAGTATGTCCCCTTGCCTATACAATGTCTTGCTCGGAAAACCATAAAACCCAAACTCTTTGATCTTTTGTTAATCGAAGCATATTCGAAAGGCAAACGACGACCAACTTTATAATACGAACTCTCAAAAGACGTCAAATATGCTTTCGAACGTTTTTATATGTTTCATGCTTATTTCGCCTCCCAAGAAACACGAAAGGTTAACTTATACCAGGACATTACCCGAAATTAAAGTTGAGTGAAATGCTGTAATTGAAATTGTTATATAAATTATTTATATTTCATATAAATTTGATCAGCCATGTTTCTCGATTTTTTTACCCATTTTTAAAGCGTGCGCCACATTCAAACGTTTGTATCTCTCGTAATATTACATGAAATTTTTAGGGCTGTATATCAAAATCTAAGTTAGCCTTTCCTTAACACAATAAAACTTATTTGAGTGTAATAACTTTTATAGTTTTTACCTTACATGAAATCAAACACCGCAAGTTTTTTTGGGACACCCGGTAGGTAACGATGGGATGGACAACATTGAGAAGTTTTAACACTGGTCAACAGACAGGGATTATCCGTCCATATATTATCCATCTAGATGAATTAAGACAAACTAAAGTGGATGATTTGTCCATGCAATCAAATAATCCGTCTGCATTTATAATAACTAATATTAGTGGCCACTATAAAATTGATCTCGAATCTTGCTCACTAATCTCTTCATTTTCCCGTGTCGTGTGACTTTCAGAAATCGCAAATCCCGTTCATTATTTTCCCTGGTATCTTGTTTCTCGTTACAAAAAAACGTTATACCGCGTCCAGCAAAAGCTTATTAGGGACCCTCAAAGATCACCGGCACGAACACAGGCCTTAAGATCGTTCAATCATACTCGTAAAAACTAGGAGTTACTATCGCAAGGAGAAGTGCTGCCGCCGGGCCATGTGAAAGTTGTCATCTAGATTGACTGAAACAGATCGGAAGAGCACACCAAAATCAAGATTGTATGGGGTTAATTTATTCACATCGCCAAAGACAGATTGTATGTCTCATTTTTACGATAAAAATATTTCGAGTGACTGCAGACTCTTTATGATTAAATGCATTAAATTTACATGTAATGCGTCTAACCAACATTATAAACTTTTTTGCGCGGAGTCTCAAGGTAGCACAAATGAGCAATAAAAACAGTGCAATTATTTTCCATCTCTCGTTCTATATCTTTCTGAAGATGTACGCACATGTTTATTCGGAGATCCTTCAATCAAGCTCGTACATATATATAGCGACATACGAAGTACGTAATTAAAAGGCTTGCTCCGCAGTAAATGGTGCGCCACTATACCAGCCAACACATTTCAAATGACGTGTCGTACTGTTTCTTCACAATTACGTCATGAAATCGCATGTAAGATGATCAAGGTCACAACAAGACGTTCAAGGTCACAACAATTGAGAAATACTTGTATGTTTCCAATTTGTTTTCCACGCATGGTTCCATTTTCCAACTGTGATGATTGATCCATGTGTGAAGTGTTACACTCTTGGCCTTTTCCAATGTTGGGATCTGTTAACATATCTCCTTCAATCAGGCATACGTCGACATCTCATCAGCTAGTATCGTATAAAACTACCCCATTCTTTATATTTAAACCGAAAATCCTTATATATTTTTGTCCTTGTGATGAATACGATTTATAATTTAAAGTTGTCAGGGATAACTAAAACGTGATTTACTAACGAATGAGGCTAATACAGTTCAATAGATGAGCGCCAATTTTTTATGAAGATACAATCTTTGCCAAAAACTTTGGGAAGATACTGAAATTTCACGTCATCTTAAAGGCTAGCGGCCCCGTGTGAGGTTCAATGCTGATCCCACAAAAGACCAATGTCTGTGAGTCAAGCGGCAACATTGAAATGACGGAGGGAGGAAGCGGGGAATAAATGTATAAAAAGTAGCATAATACATCTGAATTTATGTTAACCAAATTGTCCCAATGACAATGTTTGAGGCAATGTTAGCCTTATGTAAGGTTGTTGTCGAAAGCGAATATCCTTAAATCATCACAAAACACACAGGAACAGGTTTTGCGATTGGCTGATTATAGCCTGAGTATTAATAGGCTCTATATTATAGATCTTCAGATTTGCGTGGCGCTACCATTCCTCTCACTGGTTTAGTAAACATCTGATTGGTTGATCGGATATATCAAACTCAGCTAACTGGCTAATGGTCCCTTAATGATATAATCAATGATCAATAATCTGAACCTCATTACAAGTGGAGCCTGACACAGATCGATCTTAACCGATCGATCTCCACCCACGCATAGTATAGTTTATATTTATAGTATCCAATCAAAGTGTCCTAGGAGAGGGGTCAATTTCACACAATAACCACAACAATCTAAATATGCCTTGAACAATACAATAATCTAATTAGCACTAACCAATCAAAAGACAGAGTAGAATTTTTTGTCTGAAAGACCAGTCATGTGAATAGCAGGATTTTGCGGCCAGACGCGAGTGAGAAAAACCTGAAAATTCGGCGGCAAGCACCTGGGAAAATCATTTTGAACATGGCGTGCCAGTGCTTTGTATAAGGTTTGCCATTAGTTATTCACCTGCTAATAATTTAAGATCGTATAGAAGCCACTGATGGCCAGTTTCTATATCCAGAAAATACACGTTATTCCCCAAAAATAATCAGACACCATTAGTTCCTATTAGAACTTATTCTACCATGTCAATAATATCACTGTAGATTTCAGTGCGCTTTAGTAATATTTTGCCTCATGCATATTATGAAAACTGCGGATTCTTCCTTCGCGTGAGAAAAAAATCATGTCTTGTTTTCGTGTCTAAATATCCAGGAATGCTACCAGATTCCTGACGTCGTGAAAGCAACGGGAATTAATTGTTTTAAAATTAACTATGAATAGTTTGACAGTTTAGCGGTAATAGCACTGTTTACATGAATATTGTGGTCGTCTCGTGCAACACACGTGATTTTGCCCTTTTTATTGAATATCTCGCACTGTATCTATCGTGTTACTCTCAAAAATTTGTGGTTAGGTACACAATCATTCACAATCTGTCAAGAGTTTATATAACTTTAAAGGCCTGGTCCAAACGTCGAATTTTGCATGTATTGAATAAATTCGGCTTGGTGCATTGCCTGAAATGAATAATGATGTGAAGCTTGAGACATAGAAAAATCTCGTTTATAAGAATATAAAGATTCAAAATAAAATTTCATTCTTTAAAGAATAACAGTCAACCGTGATGCTTCGCGCGCTATGTAAATGTTTACATATACGCCGGGGAGTTAAAAATAGTGTTGTCTTTGAAAACAATCATACACTAAAAATGATATCAACAAAAAATCTTTAATACATTTACCCGCTGGTGTTTTGATGAAATCCTGATTCCTGCTCCATCGCCTGCTACGTTCACGCAGTTCGTCCATGCTTTGATGGAGCAGGATTTCGGGGAACGCGCTATGCGAAAGCCCTCGTATTCCCAGGCTTTCTTTCTTTTCCGTCCAAAGGACGTGCGTTGAACTTGTCAACGATATTCTTTTAGATATACCCTCACTTGTTGGTCTTCCACGAACGGGAAATATATGCAGAAGCCATAATTAGCCATTTGCTTTATAAAATGATAAGACTTTCTAAAATAATTGGTTAAAGGGACATGGTAATAAAAATTAACTTTGCCTTATTTGAAAGAACCTTTAATTTTATATATGAAGGCCCTTTTCAACTTTTTCGTACCTTGCTTGGTTTTCGAAATATTTTGACCAAAAACATCATGCAGTCCGCCATCTAAGTATCATAATTGACCTAATTAACTGAGCTGTTGATGACGTCACAAGCAGGGTAAATTTCTTAAAACCTCTTCATGTGGGACAAAATGTCTTCAAGAAGTTTCTTAAAATGTTATGAGTTAATTGAGTACTAGTTTTATATTGATAATGACATGTGCACGTGGTTTGCAAGATAAAAATTTCGCGTTTTACCCTACTGTTCTTGTGACGTATGCACATCGAATGCATATCCAAGATGGCGGAATACATGCTGCTTTTAATCAAAATAAGTTGATTTATGTTGAAAACCAAACAAAATACGGAAAAATTGTAAACAAAGTTTATATATCATTTTAAATGCTCTTTCAAGCAAGACAAACTTAATTTATATTGCCATATCCCTTTAAGATAAAAACACACGCCAAACTATGAAAAATATGAAACATATTCCAACTATGAAAAATATGACATCGTCTAAGAATAATGCAGATTGATAAGGATACGCTTCGGATATCAATCTTTCGTCACTATAGTGGCTAATAAAATGGCGGAATACAAAACAATCAAAACATTTTAGCGCGCAAAGCATTACGGTTGACTGTGATTTTTTAACAGCTGTCAAAGCTTTCTATTAATGCATTTATTCATGTAAAACTCATAGAGATATCTGTGGCAAGACGTCCGAGTTTTCTTTTTTCCTTCAAAATTTTTTTAATTATTGAAAGAGCGTGCTTTTAATTATTGAAAGAGCGTGCTCGGTCTTGACGCGTATCTGGGGTCACATTTGGCTTCGGGAAAAAGATAGGCAGTTTGTCTGAAGGTGGCACTCCAGTTATATTCATTTCACTGCACTACCTACTCTGGGTTTGACTAAACTTACATGAACTGATGTATCACGTGCACGTTTTCTTTCAGGCAATGAACAAATGTTGAATGAGAAGTTGTTATTTCACGGCACGAGCACAACACCATCCAGCAAAATATGGCAAAGCGAGGATGGTTTCGATTTACGATACTCTAGCCGCGGTATGTGGGGGATTGGCTCTTACTTCGCTGAGAAGGCGTCCTACTCCGACAAGTACGCTTACACGTACACTGTGAATTCTTGTCAGTTCCGTGAAATGTTGGTTGCAAATGTCCTGACTGGAAATTCTAGGCACATGCCATCAAATAGTAAGTCAAGGAAACTAACTAGGCCCCCGGTGTATGTCGAAGCGACGGCGAGCAATCCCGAAGTGCTATACGACTCTGTGACGGGTGATACCGGAGGGAGCCGAATATATGTACTTTATAAATTAGATATGGCTTACCCCAGTTACCTTGTTCGTTATTTCAAGCTATAAACACATAACCTTTAGCCGAGTTTCCTAGCTACTGTAGTTCATTGTTTCAAGCTTAAATAATTACAGTAACCTTTGTGAATTAACTGAGTTACCTACAATCTCATTGCAAGAAACTAGGCGACAAATACAGTAATTTCACATACAAAACTGTAATGTAAAACACTTAGCGCCTCGTGCACACCTTTCAATGTTGGCCACATAAAGGTCAACCTGTTTCCATATGTTAGTGTTGGAAGGGGTAGGCAGAGTGAGGGCGAAATTTCTGCCCCCTTTCTGAAATGTCTGAAGAAGTTGTATAATACATCTTGAATGCATGTGAAAACGAGATTTTCCCAATGTATATTGTCAAAGATTGTAGTTCGCTATTCCAAGTTTATTACATAACCTTTGCATGTGCCTTACTTCAATCACCTACAACCTTGGGCATAATGCTTGAGACCACTCCTCGCATAACTTCAAAGCTACACTGTACACTGACGGAGCACAGTTTGTGTCCTCCTGCTGCCGTTCAGTTCTATGTTTTAAACAAATCTCGGTAATTTAATCTCGAACAGTCGGTACGGTGCCGTCAGTATAATAGCTACAGACGATAACAAACAGCTCTGGTGTCAAGGATATGCATCTACCTGAAAAATATAAGAAGAACTTTCGACGTTTCGAGCGAAGGTCTTTCCTTTGGAGGTTAACAGTGGTTAGTAACTAACTTCCCGGTGTCTGTAATCTACCAACTTCCAAAATCACTAACTCAACAACTGGGCTGGTTGAGATTTAGGGTTAAGACTACGTACAGCCGCTAATGCGATTTTTTGTGGAAAACTGCAAGGAGTGGGCGAGTTATTATATGACATGCAGACACCGTCTTATCTCGCGACGAAATGCTTTCGCTCGAAACGTCGAAATTCAGCTTCTATGTTTCACGTAGTAGCATACTTTTGACACCGCGCAGCTCTATGTTTTGGTAAGTTACCACGACACAAGTTTAACATTGAAACGGGGAAATGGGTGTTTAAGGAGCTTATATAACATGATTTACATGGAATTTATTATGAGGGGTATGCGAATTTTTGTATTTGGAGGAAGGTAGTCTCAACCATGCCCAAGATTGTAGTTCGTTATTTTAAATTTAGCACACAACCTCTGTGGCTTACCGGAGTTACCTAAAATCATTCTCAAAAGTTGTTGGGACACTTGCGGTTTGTAATCGATTGATATATGCAAATTATTATAAATATTTATGTCTCCCTCCCCCTCCCCATGCAGTGTTGTTTAGCCGATCACACACCAAGGTAAGATGATAACTGAGACTCAACATTGAAAAGAGGACGGGGGGTGGGGAGGGGGTGTAGGTGTGACACAATAGGTAGTTAGGGCATCTGCCCAACACATTTAAAAATTATTGTGGGTAGCTTACTAGCTTATTACAACCGAACCGCAAAAAAGCCGCAGTATAAGTAGTTTGTGCATGCATGTGGGACACGAAAATAATGTATAATTTTAATATACCGGGCGGGGAAAAAAGTACGACTGTTTGAATTGCTGCAAAATCAAAACTAAATGAGCAATAACACTAAAACAAGTTTAATGGCATTCAGCGATATCCAACTTAAATTTTGATATATGCCATGGCCATTTCGATGCCATATTATCAAAGATACATGCATTTAAGCAGGAGTAAACATTTTTGGAACTGAAGAAAATTAGCTAAAAATGACTTATTAAACATTATTACAACAATAACTTCTGTTGAGATGCATTATGTTCTATAGCTGGCACGTTCACGCTTATGGTTAAAAAACAATTGTCTATTCATCAGCAAATGCATGTCCCGCAGCACGAATACAACGTCTTGCCCGTGAAATCATACAATCGAAAAACCACCACCACATGTCATCCCAATCGATATTGTGAACACGAATGTCTCCGACTGTACAACGTTGTCGGCGTATGATTCGGAGATACTCTCTTGTGTTGAGATTTCTTTCAACAAAGTGTGGACCGAGAACAATGCCTTCATGACCTCGTCAAACCAACCCACTAATTGAAACAATAATCGCGAGAAAATGGTAACGGTTATTCAATTGGTTTTAATAGGGCCTTTTCAGCTAATTCTTGGCCGTTCCAAAAGTGTTTGCCTACGTTTAAGCACAGTTATCTCAGCCAATATTGCATAAAAAGGTGCAAGACATATATCAAAATTTAAGTTAAACATCGTAGAATATACGGTGACTTATTTAAGCGTAATAGCTCTTTTAGTTTTCGAATCATGGTGAATCAAACTGTTGTACTTTTTTTGCCCCACCCGGTAGAACAGAGCTAGGGAAAGCTGTATAACCATATGTTACATCCAGGAATATATATAAACTCTGTGTAATGGGTTAGGCATGGGGTTACGGCTAGGATTCTAGTTAAGGTTAGCGTTGGGACTACGGTTAGGATAAGGGGTAAATAATGTCCACTGACCATATAAGAGATCAGTGTTAATGACACATTTTGTGTACGGTAATATAATGATACCCTAACCGCAAACGATTTGGAACCTGGCGCCTAAATCAGGACAGCAATTACCTCTGTACAAATAAATACCTGAAGAAGCAATAATTTTTACCATAGATATTATATATATATATATAAGACAAACTTGAATTACTTCATATGAACTTTATTTCACTACAAATTTGTTTCGTATAACAAGACGAGTCTTGCCACACTCATCAGGTGAATTTAAATAACGCGCTAAATTATTATTATTATTATTATTATTATTATATTATTATTATTTAAATTCACCTGATGAGTGTGGCAAGACTCGTCTTGTCATACGAAAGAAATTTGTAGTGAAATAAAGTTCATATGAAGTAATTCAAGTTTGTCTTCTAATCTTATCAGCTCTACTACGGTATTGAGCACTCTACTCATATATGATTCCAAACTCGATACTTGTCTGTATATATATATATAGAGAGAGAGAAGTATCTAGTTTTATTTCATAGATCAGTTCAATGAATTAATAACTACATGTTTTAGACATATCGTATTTCTCCTGTCATGAAATCCTAGTAGATAAATTTAATTTTTTTTAACAATCAGCATTCTTAATTTTTCGTCAATCAGCATCTGGAATTTGTCATACTCACAGTTCCATCTTCCAGAGCCCTATCCGCTTTCACCTCATTTACATAATTCCAAATCGTGTCAGAATTATTGGTTACATTGTCATGCCCTGTGAAGGTACGTTTACACGCTGCGGTTTGTCGTATATGATTGTCATTCTGGAGTATGAGATTAAAATTACTTTCGTAGGCGAAATTTGAAATGCGACCATTTTACCCGTGCGTATTTTTTGTACACGCCAGAATACGAATTGTACACAACAAATCGCAGCATGTAAACGTGCCTTAATCGGGAAAGTAATAAACCTAATCCTACCCTAACTCACTCTATAATCCTAATCATTATTCGTAATTCCTGGACATGAAATTACCGGTAATCGTTCCATGTTTCGCGCACCAATATAGTAAACGTTATGTAATGGATATTATAGTGTACTGCAAAGTCAACTGAATACCTCCATATACATATATACACGCCCTAACCATAACCTTAAACCTAACCCCAATCCCTAACCCTAACCTATATTGGTGCGCGAAACATGGAGCGATAACCAAATTACCACATAATATTTTCGATTCCTTCTAATGTACGAGATTTAGTAATTGCTGGTGTACTTCTTTCACTAAAATTCCACTTGCAACTTGTACTCAGGTTTGTCTTCTCCAGTAATTACGCCTCTTTATTGAATATTTCGGGAAATGATAATTTCTGCCAGTTATACAATAGTTAGAAAGTGTTAAGAGGAAATTAATTTGTATGTTACGTCCCGCGCGCTTAAAACTAATTGATGAGGATTATATGATACCAAAATTTTTATTTTTCGATTCGTTTTTCAATCGGGAAACAAACTTTAAAACTATGTTTCGTGCTTTATCCGTAAATGAATCCTAAATTGACGAGCCGGATTTTGGATGGTTCACCAAAGAGAAAATGATGTCCGAAGTTCATGCAGTAACTCTTCTTATATTGCTATAGTATGGCATCACTTTTATGTTTCTCAACCTGATGCATTTAAAAAGGTAACTAACTGTATAAACTAAAGAATAAAGCAAAAAGAAAGCAATTTTAAGTGGTAGCCAAAAATATTTTCGGTTTTAACACTTTTCATCGCATATACGCGACATAGAAAAATTCAGCATCTTTAAATTGCTTTTGCGTTTTTGTACACAAATGACGATGTCATCCATTGCCACCACTGATCGGCGTACAATTTACTTTGGTTGCCAGTGGCCAATAAAAATTACTGGTTATTAAAGTGATAAAGATTCCTGTCTTTTTGCTTTTGATTACCTAACCCTGACTATAACCCTCAAACCCTTGCCTTGATTCTACCATAGTTGCAATCCAGAGGACATTCTTCTGGATTGTCTATGATTCTACTGACAAAAGTAATGTCATTCATATTAACTAAACTTGCAATTGCGAGTAATTTGGTTTTCAATTACGACACGGTCTCTTTCTTTCTATGATGTTGTATATCATCTTAAAAAACTCATTAATAATTCATGAAGAAAACACAAAGAAAAATCATAAGCTTGTCGTATCTGTATACTTAATACATATATGAATATGTATGTTTTCTTTGTGTTTTCTTCATGAATTATTAATGACTTTAACTTTGATTTTTAGGCTTAGACAACGTTTATTTTTAAAATTACTTCGCCAATGAACTCATAAGATGAGTTCGGCGAGAGATTGTATATCCGATACAACACGGTCGCTCATGTTGTAAATGGTACATACAGCTGTTCATATGAAATTAAGCTAGGTTGCATCTAAATAGATGTTGCATCAAAAGCATGTGACAACACTATACTCTCTAAGTAAATGGGCTTATGTGACTATAATTAATCCAAAAGGCATATTAATTATAGCTAATATGTGATAACACTATACTCTCTAAGTAAATGGGCTTATGTGACTAATTAATCCAAAAGGCATATTAATTATAGCTAATATCATTTTATGAATTGCCTGGCAACTAAATCATGCTTTTAATTTTTAATCAGTATTTGCTCTCTTGAAGCAATTTAATCTATTAGACTAATACACTCGTATGTCAATACACTGTATGATAATCAAGTGTAATTCTATAGGGACAGCAGTACGTAACCCTGTTGCGGTAACCCTGCCAGTTGTCCTTGATTAAATTAAGGCCGTTTACACTAGCAATTTTTGCTGCATTTTCCAGTGCCATTTTTTTCTGATGCATGTGAACGAGGATAGATGACTTATGAATGTTCTGAGAATCTGAGTATATGTATACGATCATCTAAACGTTCCTGAGTCATCCACTCTTTCACATATTCATCAGTTAATTTTTAATTTTTGTGCATCGTGTACTGCGTGACAACTGCTACATACATTGTCCAGTATTGGCCACTCTTTGCACGATAAAATAGACGAAAAATGCTAAAAATTATGAAAAACAATTTCCGAAAACTCACTTTTCTGATGCGCACACTTCTTGATAAGAAGAAGTTTCGCAGAAGTGAGGCATCTGTTTGTAATTAATACAGCGAGTCATTCATGTATTTGTGTAGCATGTATATTATCTTAGGTATTATAACTTTCGAGGTAGTTCTTGCTGTTTTTAACTATAATCGTAGGAAATTAGCGAAAACCTGTAAAAGGAAAATTTCTAAGTCCAGAGTTAAGTCCAAAGTCTAGTACAAAGTCCAGTCCATAATCCAATCCAGGGTTTACAATATGTCAGAAGATAAGCCAAGTTGAAGGTCACAGCAATTGAAAATCAATCGTCATGTTTAACTGTCATGATCATTGATCCAACTGTGACATGTATACTTTTGGCCTTTTCCAGTACTGGAATCTGTTCACGACACGTATATACACAGTACGATCCTTCGATCAGGCATACGTCGACATCTCATAAGTTACCATCGTATAAAACTACTCCGTTCTTTAATAATAAACAAAATCCTTATTTTTAACGTTTTGTCATGGCCAAAATCCTGTCCAAAGTCCAGTCCATAGTCTAATCCGAAGTCCACTCTATTATCCAGTCCAGGGTTTACAATATTCCAGATAATAAGTCAAGTTCAAGGTCACAGCAATTAATAAATATGTTTACAATTAGTGTGTTGATTCCAGGCATGATGATTGAAAATCAAGTATCATGTTTAACTGTCATGATGATTGATCCAATTGTGACATGTATACTCTTGGCCTTTTCCAATACCAATACCAATTCCAATACTGGAATCCGTTAAAGTGCTACTGTGACGAAAATTCATCATCGAGAAAATACCCTTTTTTGCTAGCAACGACTCTATTATTGCACCAAAAATGCTTGTGTAAAATTTCAGGCGAGCATGCTTAACAACCACGGAGTTACGAGCATTTGAAACTGAGTCCAAAATCGCTGTCCGCCATTAAAATCCGCCATCTTGATTTTATGTTGTCACGAGAGGCTTCTGACGTCATAGTCTCAACACACCGCAAGGGCACAAGTAGAATTAGTAAGCAAACGTAGAGCATCGCATGTATTTCAAGAACTGAAATGTCAGTTTTGTCGCGATCTAGTAGCGTTTCGGAGTATTTGTCTGAAACAGATTCTCCCGCATCTCATCTGTTTATACAACAGCGAATTCAAGCGAACTTAACAATGAATTTTTGCCATTTGATGACACTATTGCTGACTATTGCTGGAGCCGCCGCTTGCCTCGCCTGAAGAGGTAGCCGAGTACGAGGTCGACGAAGCTATAGCAGAAGACGAACAGCTCGAAAATATGTTACAAAATCGTTTTGAAGGCAATACATGTTGATGTATCGTCTTGGTAAGTTTGTGTTCTTATTTGCCGGAGTAATAAATTAAAATGTATCTCTGAACTTCTATTTTGCATTTTTTATAAGGTATGAATGTGGTCGCATTACTGTCAACCTGAAGTATGCCTACTATGCCGATGTTGTTATTAAACAAACATTAACATATTGTGTGCGCCCATTTATTTAATATTATATATTTTATAGGTTCTTACGCGCAGTTTTCTACAGACAGCTCCTGGTTTGGTATGAGATTTTGCGTGCAGTTCAAAACATCTCACATTACCGTGTTGTTGTTACAATAAAATATGATCAACATTCCCGAACACTGATCAGCGAGCTTACACGGAGTTTGAAAAAACAGCTCGATGGTTCATCCTCGTTTGTATCAGTCTTGTTTGCAGTTTCGCCCAACTCGTTTAAAATTTAAACCTATTTTCAATAATATGAGAACAACACTTGTCGCGTGAATTTATAATTGTCTGGACTTATCAGATTATGTAAATATGTATGTAGCTAAGATATATTCCTATCTGACTAAACCTTACGCCTGTCTCTTCTTGTTAGTTGCGCAGGCGCTTTCCTGCAAATAGTAGGCACAGAATCTGGTTTGATTCGTCTTTGCAAACCATCCAAATGAAATAAACGCTCAAAACAATTCGTTGAAAAATGGTCCAAACAAATCATGAATCCAATTTCCCGCGAGCTTGGATAAAAATTGGTGTGCTTAGTTTGCACAAATCTAACCGATATTCTTCTCAAAGATTCGTCATTTGGGCTCTTATGCAATGATCTACCCGCGTTTTTGTTAGAAGTATTGCTGCAATCTTGTACAACACAACGCGACGAACGGACGAAGGCATGATCGAGTTTTACTATAGTCGCGTATATATTTTTATGTTGCACGCCAGCATGTGTTGAGACTATGACGTCAAAGACTCCCGAACACTTGAACTTTCCAATATGGCGGATTTTAATGGCAGCTGCCATAATTCGAACTTCATCGTCGTATAACTCAGGCAAAATATAAGATATCACGCTAAAATTTTGCGTGACAGCTTCTTTTTACGCATTCTTCACAATCATGGAAAAAAAACAGAAGTGAAAATTTGGTCACAGTGGCACTTTTTAACAGCTGCAGTATTTCAAGCGAAAGGCTCAGGGAATCGGAATTTTTTAGCGATTCCAGCAGCCTTTCGCGCTCGTATTCGACTTTTCCGCTTTGCTTGGTGGACAACCTTAATTGAAATAGCTGTAGGCTATATACAGTACATTCGTCAGGCATACGACGACATCTCATAAGTTAGCATTGTCTAAAACTACTCCATTCTTTAATAAACAAATTAAAATCCTTATAAGTTAACGTTTTTGTTCTGTGATTTTTAATTAAATTTTTTTAATTTAATAATTTTACCATTATAACTTTTACAATGCAATAGTTCAACGTATTCGATGTATGGATAATATTGATGATTACAATTCAAACAAATAAACTTTTAAGTCTAAAAGTAAAATATTGAAAAGAAACAGAATTAACAATTTCATCCTCAAGTGAGTTAAAAAACGTCGGACCTTGATATCGTATTGGCCGATTCATAAATTAAAATTGATCTGGATAACTAAAACATGATTTAATTATGCTAAAGAATGATTGAGGCAGTTCAAATGCTCCGAATTAACATCGCCATTTTTGTATGAAGATACAATCTTTGCTACAAACATGGCACGAACACCGAAATTTCGCAACACCTTAAAGCCTAGCGCCCCCATGCCGACCGTTCAATATGCTGATCCCAACATTGAAGTAGGGGGGAGCGGGAAACAAATGTATAAAAAATGGCATGATATATCTGAATTTATGTTAAAACTAAATTGTCCCAATGCTAAATAAATACTTAAACCATCACAAAGACACAGGAACAGGTTCTGCGATTGGTTGATAATATAGCATGAGTATCAGGCTCTATATATATTTACAAATAGAGCCGGCACAAACCTTAACCGATCACTCTCCACCCATAGTAAAGTTTATACTTAGTGTGCAATCAAAATGTCCAAGTAGAGGGGTCAATTTCACACAATTAACCACAACAATCTAATTACACTGGCCGTAAGGCCCAGTGTCTCATGAGGTTCCCTAATTTTCTGTGCGAAAATGTTTCGTCTTTTTCGTCAACGTGAAATCGACCTCGAAAAAAACATACCTGTCAATCAAATATAGTTTATCATTTTTTATACTGTGAATCTTAACAGATTTTTGGCACGTTCATGACACAGAATAAAGATCCATACAGAAGGTACATTTTCTACCGTCCTCCAGGATCAACTTCAGAAATTCTTTTTCAACTGAACTCCTCTCTAAAGAGTACTCGCGAATCAAGCCGTTTAGTAGTGGTTGGCGATTTCAACATTCCTTCAGTAAATTGGTCAATAGACAAATCTGCACCCATTAACACAGGCGGACACGCGGCAGGAGAAAATTTGTGTGATGTGGTAGGGGATAACTTTCTGCATCAATTTATTAAAGGTCGTACACACATCAATGGAAACAAGCTTGACTTATTGTTATCTAACTGTCCAGAAATTGTCGAAAATGTTACCACTTTTACTCCTGGACAAGTGTTTCCAACTGATCACCATGCTGTTGAATTTTGAATTAAATTAAAAATTAAACAATGCGAGCCAGTGCCACGTAAAGTGTTCGACTTTAATATAGGTAACTTCGATGAACTTCGCAGTTCCCTTCTGCGCATATTACCTGACTTCGCTATGTCAACGGACAGTATCGATGATTGCTGGCTGAAATAGAAAAAATTGTTTCTTGACGCTGTGGGTAAATTTGTTCCAACAAGGACCATCAAAGACAAAAAATCTCCGCCTTGGATTGACGGAGAAGTTCGCCATTTCATAAGAAAGAAATACGATGCTTTGAGAAAATTTCGGAAGGACAGATCTGATATCCGCAAACAAAACCTGCGCGAACTAAGTCAAAAAGTGAAATATTTGATAAGGGCAAAGCACCGCGAGTATCTCAAGAAAATCGAAGGTTCTTTCAAGGACAACCCAAAATTATTTTGGAGTTACCACAAGGCTATCTTACACCACCATGGAAAGTCAACTTCGAAAATAACACATAATGGCAAAACAGCAACTACACCAGCTGGTAAGGCAGAACTGTTCAATTCATATTTCTCTTCTGTATTTCGTCCTCCCTCTTCGCAACAAGATATCGACAATAGAAATTTACTAGATTATCCTCCACCCGAAGTACTGTTATCCGAACTCACTGTGACAGTCGAAGATGTTACAAATTATCTCAATGCTCTGGACATCACGAAAGCAAGTGGGCCTGACGAAATCCCTGCTCGTCTTCTTAAAACTTGTAGCAATGAAATCGCGCCAAGCCTCTGCTCCCTCTTCAACCAATCGCTTGAAACAGCTCGTTTACCGTCGGAATGGAAAATGGCCAATATAACTTCAGTGCACAAAAAGGATTCCCTTGAACCAGCCATCAACTACAGACCTATCTCCCTGCTGTGCATAATAAACAAAGTTCTAGAACGTCTTGTTGGGAACGGTCTGCGTGCTCAGGTAAAACATCTCATCACAACCCTGCAACATGGTTTTCAACGCAACCGCTCGTGTGCCACCCAACTGCTTGCAGTCCTCCATGAAATTGGGAAGAATCTGGACCAAAATGTTCAAACTGATGTACTGTACTTAGACTTTGCGAAGGCTTTTGATACCGTAGACCACCAGATCCTTTTAAAAAAACTTAAACGTTTTGGTGTAGTAGACCGCATGCATGATTGGTTCAAAGATTATTTGCATCAACGATTCCAACGAGTTGTTGTAGACGGTGCAGTCTCCGACTGGGTACATGTTACTTCGGGCGTTCCGCAAGGAAGTATTTTGGGTCCTATGCTATTTGTAATATTCATAAACGATTTACCAGACGTTGTGCCAGATTGTATCTCTACAAGACTTTACGCAGATGACACCAAACTCTACAGGAACGTATCAACTATCGGTGACTGTGAGAAATTACAAGACGCTTTAACAGAACTTAGTTCTTGGAGTTATCAAAATAACATGAACTTTAATGCGTCAAAGTGCAAAGTTCTGTCCATAACACGCAAGGTCAATCCATTGCATTTTCAGTACCATATGGATTCTACCAAGTTACTTCGAGTAAACGAAGAAAAAGATCTCGGGGTGATCATTACCGAGAATTTGTCATGGGAATCACATCTTACCTGCATTTGTGCGAAAGCTAACAAATTACTCGGTCTATTAAAGCGAACATGTATTTCAATTATTGACAGTAGTGTTCGAAAGACTCTCTATTTGACGTTGGTTAGGTCCAAGTTAAGTTATGCGACTGAGGTTTGGTCTCCAGCAAGTTCCTTATTGAAACAAAAGGCTGAGAAGATTCAGAGACGTGCTACGAGATGGATCCTGCGCGTCAAAGCCGGTGAACTATCCTACAAAGAGAGACTTCAGCAACTGGATATGCTCCCTCTTGCGTACGATCGCGAGGTCAAAGACTTAGTATTTTTTTATAAGGCTGTGAACGGATATATTGACATTGATGTCTCAAATTTTGTTAACTTTGTCAATCATGGACGGACACGTAGAGCATTGAGATCCAAATACTTAGAAACTCCGTTGTGTAAAACTTGTACGTACAGTTCGTCGTATTTTAATCGTGTTGTCAAATTATGGAACAGTGTTTGTGTCTCGATTGATCCTTCCAGTTTTACATCGCCATCGTCTTTCAAACTATACCTCAAGATGAGGTATAAGAATATTCTGGAAACAGTATTTGATCCGGACATGACTTGCACCTGGTCACTTAAACGTGATTGTGGTTGTCACAAATAATAAACTAACTTAACTAATCAAATTAATGTGCATGCATAATATTAATATTTATGAAGTAAATATGTTATACAGGGTGCCAAAAAGGGGACCAAAGCTGTTGAGATGGCGTGTTGCTTGGGAATTGAATTGCCTTAGCACTCTGCTGAACCCATAAGTGCATAAAAGCTTGACAAAAGTAAATTTTACGAATAAAGAAACTGTTTAAGAAGCTGCTTTAAATTCCAAAGAGCAGATAATCGTGAGCTTACAAAGATATTTTAATTTCTTCAATACTCATATTATATGCATCATGTCGATCATATTTACGTGTCTTTGCGTTCAGTTGGTGCTGAGGCGTTTGGATTCTGGCAGTGCGTTGTTTCAGTGGTTTTGGTTTTTTTGGGACACCCTGTATACAGTATACTGCGAATTAAAAGGTTTATGTTAGGAAGAGGAGGGGCACCATGCAATGGACTTTACGTCCAGTTTGTGCCTTGTCCGTTTGAGTACAGCTCTTTAATTGTATGTTAGATGAATATTTGTTGAATTAATTTGTACTCAATAAAGTTTAACAAACAAACAAACAAACAAACAAACAAACAAACAAACAAACAAACAAACAAACCACTTACGTTGGAAGCTTTGAAGTTTCTGTCCTTGCGAATGTCGCATTACGCATGTTGGCCGCCATTTTCCTAGCCAGTCAATGACATTTTTTGGCCAATAAATACGTTGTACTGGCTGGCTGTTCTGCCTTCTGGCCAGTAAACTGCAAATTTTTGCATACTGAAAAAACGAGAACACGTTGCACCCCGAAGTGGCACTTCTGTTACATGCCTAAAAATTGAGAAAATCAACAACTTGTTCCAAGTTGGTATCGACAGGCGTGAACAATGTTGTGCGGCCAACTACGAACAGTATTGTCAACATGTTGTTACAGCGTTGTTCAACTGTAGCAACTTGGAACAACATGGTTGACAACTTGTTCATAGTTGGCCGCACAATATTGTTCACGCCTGTCGATATCAACTTGGAACAACCTGTGCGTTTTTAGCCGTGTACTGATCTTTATTTTGTGGTTGGATATAAATTCATGTCTCGCTGTTTATGAGTTAAGGTTAGCGGTTAGGGTGAGGGTCAGGGTGAGGATTAGGGTTAGCATTCATAAATAGCGAGACATAAATCCTATAACCCGTGGTTCATGAAGTAAACCGCTGACCTGCAATGGATCGCGGGCTCAAGTCAAAATGGCCGCCAGGTAAGGAGCAAACTGACTATGTAATAGGATTTTTTGTCTTGTTTGTTTATACTATTGATATAATGTTCTTTGAATTTTGAAACTTAGCGTACTCAAATGTTTCTGATATATTACCTGCGTATTGGTTGAACTTTCTAGCCTGTCTATGGACGTTTTAAATTCCTTAAACGTTTGTGACTTGGTTTTAGTGATTAGTATATATTGTTTGTTTACCCATCTCTAGCCTTGCATAAATGCACATGTAAGTGTTATTTAAACTGCTCTACCAACTGTTGTACTCTTACACAAGTGTGGACGCCTCAGCGGGCGTCTTGTTATAGTTAAAATTAAACGACTAAACCCCGGAATATCATGAACACTAGCATTAAATCTAAGTCGCACCAACGAATCAAGATACAGATTAAAATTTGTTTCTGACAGACCAGTCAGGTGAATAGCCGGATCAAACAGCCAGACACGCGGGACGACACACGAGGGAGAAAAAGCTGAAAATTTTGGGGGAAGCGCCTGGGAGAATTCAATTTCAACACGGGTGGCCAGTGTTTTGTATTTTAAAAGGAAAAGAGGCCACTGACGGGGAATTTCTTTCTATAGACAATACATGCCGTTTCCCAGCAATAACCAGAAACTATTAGTTCCTATTAGAACTTTTTCTACCATGTCAGCAATACCACTGTGGATTTGTGGTGGTCACAATATGACCCGCCATTAGAATAATTTATGCACAGCGAATTCATTATATCCAGTCCTGCTTTTCAATCATAGTGACCATAATGACTATATAATATTCATATTACCAAAACTGCGACTCCTTCCTCTCGTTTTCTTTTCGTGTCTAAACATTCAAGAATGCGGCCGCATTCCTAACGTTGTGAAATCGACGGGAATTAATTGTTTTAAACTATGAATAGTTTGAACTATGAATAGTTTAGCAGTAATAGCACTGTTTACATGAATATTATGTCGTCTCATTCAGGGGCGCAACTCCTTACTTGGGCTCCGCCTGGCTCAAGCCAGCGGCCAAAATGGGGGCTCCTGGACAAGGACGACAAAGTGGCGAAGTTGATATATTTCAGCAAATTTTACATCTTTTTGTACACAGCCAAGTCCCTCTCCACGACGCCACTTTAAATGGGCATGCAGGACCTATGTATTCCCTATTGCAGTTAAAGCCGGGGCTCTTTAGTACAAAGTTACGCCACTGCATGGTCTCATGCAGCACTCGTGATTTTTCCGTTTTTATTGAATATATATCTCGCACTGTATTTATTGTGTTACAAATAGCTACAATAATTATGTCCTGATGGCTACAAATTTCTGGATCACCCACGCGACGGGCTACGCGGTGGCGGGACTGGTCTAATATATCGAGACTCGTTGTGTGCAAAAAAGTTAGATAAAGAAATAAAACGTTCGTTTGAATTTTCTGAACTCAGGCCGATTAATGCTTGGCTTTTGCTTGGCTCTGCCCACGCTTGACTTGATATCTCCGCGCGAGTTGCGCACGCGATTAAACATATCTAGCGTGTTGCTATTTTAGTGCGTTTTAGGCTTGTATGTGTACAGTGTATTTGTATTTCATAATATTTTGTTTCACGGCAGGGGCATATAATGATTGTGGCGTGCGCGAATTCATCACGCGAAAAACGCGTTGGACTTGCCGACACATAAGACAACGTTAATGTGGGTCGTTAATACGTAGATTTTATCCAGAGTACAGCCAACTTTGGTCCCACAATTAGAATTGTAAGCATTGTAATCTGGAACGATCGTTTTATTGCAAATCATATTGACATTGTGCAAGACATTGTTGTATTCATAGCAATATTTTCATATCTGTGGCAAAATCTTCAAGTTTCTAATTACAGCAATGCAGTATAAGAGTAAAAGGTTCCGTGATAATATTTTCGTACATATCTATGAATGTTTAGTGTGTCGGCAAGCCGTGTTTTAAAACATTAAGTTAATTTCCATTATCACCGCATATATCTTGTCACGTGACCAGTTTCCATGGAAACAGATAGTTGAAAAATATCGGCAGTTGATTTCCAACATCTCACCAAAAAATGAGAGTCATAGTGTGTTTTGTTAATTTTTAATTAATTTTTAAAGATTTTTTCTATATCCCCCCTCCTTACAAAAGTAGAGCCATGCATTAATGCACCTGAGAATGGTCTGTTACAACATCCAGTCACAAACTCCGCATCGTTGTGCTTTATCGTCCACCGTACTCTAGTGAGCATAACGTGCCCATGAGCGTCTTTTTCAATAATTTTCGAACTATCTAGAGTCTCTTCTGTTGTCTAAGGAGCCTCTTTTGATCTCTGGTGATTTCAACATACACATTGATGATGCTGCAGATGCCGATTCTTTTTAATTTCAGGATCTGCTTGAGTCGGTTGGTCTCCGGCAACATGTTACCCAGGCCACACATACCCATGGCCATACCCTTGATCTTATAATCACACGTTACTCTGATCAGATCATAATGAATCAACCGTATGTAGACCGTTTTATTTCTGACCATGTTTCTGTTATCTGCGATCTATTACCAGCCAAACCAGTTATGTCAATCAAAAGAGTTAGTTACAGGAAATTAAAATGTGTGAACATGACCTCTCTAAACCAAGATCTGGCTGGTACTGCATTGTGTGCGACCTGTCGTGGTGAACCAACAAATCTGTTGCCAGATGACGCGGATGCGCTGGCACGTGATTACAACAAAACTCTGTCGAGCCTAACTAACTGTCATGCACCATTAAAGACCAAAAGTGTAAGAGCGAGAGCATCGGCGCCCTGGTACAACGGTGAAATCGATGCTGCGAAACGACTTCGCAGAAAGGCCGAAAGAATTTGGCGCAAAAGCAAATTATTGTCTGACTTTAATCAGTTTAAGGTTAAACGAAATCGAGTGACATACCTTATGAATGAAGCGAGGAGAACGTTTTACACTAACTTCATAAAAGAAAATAGTGACAAACAAGGAAAACTGTTTAGAGCCGTAAATAAGTTGTTGGTAGTGAAAGACGAGCTGTGTTTCCCGAATTATCACAACAATGCGGCCCTGGCTGCAGATATTGGCGAATTCTTTGTACGAAAGATCTCAAGAATACGGTCTGACATTGATGCTATGGTCGTTGACTCCTCTGTAAGTGATTTAGTGCCAGATGATCGGGTAGTGAATAAAGACATAGCATTGAATTCTTTTCGGTGTTTAACTGAGAATGAAGTCCAAGATCTTATCCAGGCGTCAGCAAAAAAGTCATGTGCGCTAGATCCTATGCCTACGTCTTTGGTTATCCGTTTAACCCCATTACGTCCTGTGATTACACATATCATCAACTCCTCACTGCTCACTGGCCATTTCCCTGACAAATGGAAGGAAGCACTTGTCAAACCTCTTATCAAGAAAAAGGGACTCGATGCTTTGTTCACCAACCTTCGACCCATCAGCAACTTACAGTATATTTCTAAGTTGACCGAAAGGGCAGTCTATAACCAAACCTACCACCATATGATGACTCACGAACTTTTCCCTCTACTCCAATCTGCATATAGAAAGGGTCATAGTACAGAGACATCGCTTCTGAGAGTGCAGAATGATATTTTAATGAACATGGATCGACAGCAGGTGACTCTTCTTGTGCTCCTTGATCTCAGCGCGGCTTTTGACACCGTGGATCATGGAATTCTTTTGCATCGTATGGAAACCTCTTTTGGTATAACTGGTACTGTTCTGGAGTGGTTTAGATCGTATCTTACAAACAGGTCTCAACGTGTTGTGTTTGGTGAGGGACAGTCAAAAAGTTTTCAGCTTCCATATGGCGTGCCACAGGGTTCCTGCCTAGGCCCCTTGTTGTTTACTGTTTACTCTAGTAAGCTGTTTGACATAATTAAGAAATATCTACCAACAGTACACGCATTTGCGGATGATACACAGCTTTACTTGTCATTTCAACCAAACAGCAGAACAGGTGAGGCGGAGGCAATCGAGGCGATGGAGTTGTGTATAAAGGCTCTTCGGGCATGGATGATCACAGATAAGATGAAACTGAACGACGACAAGACAGAGTTCATGTTATTGAGTACCCACCAGCAGCTTAGCAAAGTATGCATCGAGAAGTTGTTTGTTGGTGACGTCACCGTGACCCCAGTTTCTGTTTCTCGGAATTTGGGAGTATGGTTTGATTCTCACATGAGTTATGTAACACACATAAATAAAACATGTAAAGCTGCGTTTTTCCACCTTCACAACATCAGAAGAATCAGAAAGTTTCTCTCAAACAAGGCAGCTCAGACATTGGTTCATGCATATGTGATGGGAAAACTTGACTATTGTAACAGTTTACTTTTTGGGTTACCTGATAAGCAGATAAAGAAGCTGCAGCGTGTGCAGAATGCGGCTGCCAGGTTGATTTCCTATACTCCACGGTTTGGACATATAACTCCAATGTTGCGTACATTACATTGGCTTCCAATTAGATTTAGGATAGAATTTAAAATGTTAATTATAATATTTAAATCTATACATGGTTTATCACCTGTGTACACAAGTGATCTTATAAGTACGAAACTACAGAGTAAAATTAATACTGTCTGCGATCAAATAATGAACTGTTACTTGCGCCGAAAGTAACTAAAACGAAGAAGACTCTTGGAGATAGAGCTTTCACCGCAGCTGCACCAAAACTTTTTAATGAACTTCCCCGAGAAATACGTACTGTGACAAACCTCAATCATTTTAAAACACTTATTAAGACATTTTTATTTAGGAAAGCGTATGACATTGTCAGGGGCGTAGGAAGCACCTGGAGTTTGGGGGGGGGGCACTGGCTTGTAGGGGCACATTACTATCGGAAAGGGCACCTAAAAATTTTTTCCCGGAAATGTTGTCGACGGGGGGGGGGGGGGGGAGAAATTTCTCCTGAGGAAAATTTTCCGTCGTATCATACCGAAATTTATGTTTGTGACCTAATTTTTAAAAAAAATTTGTAAATTTCCACACAAAAACGGCACCTATTGTTTTAATTTAGTATTTACAGCGACATTAGCTTCTACAAAAGTGGCACTTTTCCTCACAAAAAAGGGCACTTTTCAACACAAAAAGGGCACTTTTTATCACAAAAAAGGGCACTTTTAGTCCTTTAAAAAAATTTGGGGGGGCACGTGCCCCCCGTGCCCACCCGCTTCCTACGCCCCTGGACATTGTCTAGTTAATGAGATTTTTATATATACAGGGTGTATAAAAAAAAAACTGAACAGATTTGAAATTGCTCTCAATTTCGCAAAACACCTATTTGTATCCGGTTTTTTATATATATAGCTTCTTTTGGTACTTATAATGTACAATAATGAAGAAAATAGTATAGGCTTGATACGCATCCACACCAAAATCACACATTCTACAAGCTGACTCAAAAACACACACACATATATATATATATATATATATATATATATATATATATATATATATATATATATATATATATATATATATATATATATATATATATATATAATATATATAGGGTCTAGCTATTTAGCGGGCCGCGGGCTGCGGGTCAATTTTTGCGGGCTGCGGGTCAATTTTTGCGGGCTGCGGGTCAGTTTTTGCGGGCCGCGGGCCAAATTGCTGGCCTAACTAATTTTTTGTGTTGCATGCCATATATGGCATGCAACTTTCATATAGCTCTAAATTTCGTGTCGCGGTGAGCGGCGGTGAGCGTACCGGTCACGTGGAAATTCGTAAAATACGACAAATACCGAGTTTTTCCGACGAGCAATTCATCACTCATGCTCGAGGAAAGGCAAAGAAAAATGTTTGAGTGTTCGCGGAAAATTTACATAATTGAGCGCCTTTAAAAATAGATCAAGGTAGATAAAGCTTTGCTGGTTTTAATTTTCCTTATATTCTGTTATTTGTTGTGATTCTGGAGCAGTTGTGCTCGCAATAAAATATTAATCATAAAATGAATGATTATTTATCAGTCGTTTTTACTAATATTTATATCGTGAAGCCTGG